TGCGTCCGTCCACTGCTCCTCTGCGTGCCCCTTTGCCTTCTCCTCCTGAGTCCTCTCTTCCTGGGCTTGCCGACCCTGAGTCGGACTCTCTTCGCGCTGCCAGTCCTACTGTCACGCGTCTGCTTGCTACTGTCGTCACTGACCCCTCTTTTGAGTCCACTGCTGCGTCTGCTCTAGACGCTGAGCTCGTTGACTTTGCTGCTCGCTGTCGTCTCGACTACGCTGCTGGTCTTGTTGCTGAGTCTGCGTCTGTCTGTCCTCCGTCCGTCGGGGGTGAGTGTGCTCTTGGCACGGACGTCCTAGAGGACAGACAGGAGGAGTTACAGTGTCTAGCGGCTGCTTCACCTCATCTCGCGTCTGTACTGCTTGCCCCTGAGGGAGACCCGGATGCACTAGACATCCCGACTCCGCGTTCTTACGCGGAGGCCGTAGAGGGTCCCTACTCCTCTCAGTGGCAGGCAGCTATGGATGCAGAGATGGCTTCCTGGAAGTCCACAGGCACCTACGTTGACGCAGTTCCCCCTCCTGGGGCGAACATCGTCAGTGGCATGTGGATCTTCCGGGTGAAGCGGCCGCCGGGCTCTCCACCTGTCTTCAAGGCGCGGTACGTTGCTCGTGGCTTCAGTCAGCGGCAGGGAGTTGACTACTTTCAGACCTTCTCTCCCACCCCGAAGATGACCACTCTTCGGGTGCTGCTGCACATAGCCGCTCAGCGCGACTACGAGCTTCACTCTCTCGACTTCAGCACTGCGTTCCTGCAGGGTAGCCTGCACGAGGAGATCTGGCTGCGCCGTCCACCTGGCTTCACTGGGACTTTCCCTCCTGGCACCCAGTGGAGCCTCCGACGGCCAGTCTACGGTCTCCGCCAGGCACCGCGTGAGTGGCACGACACACTGAGGACTACGCTTGCGGCTCTTGGGTTTGCTCCTTCTACTGCTGACCCGTCGCTGTTTCTGCGCACCGACACTTCACTGCCGCCGTTCTACATCCTCGTGTACGTCGACGACTTGGTCTTTGCCACAGCGGACACTGCTGGACTCGCCTACGTGAAGTCCGAACTGCTGAAGAGACACACGTGCACAGACCTGGGTGAACTGCGCAGCTACCTTGGCTTGCAGATCACTCGGGATAGAGCACGCCGCACCATTACCTTGACTCAGTCACACATGGTGCAGCAGGTCCTTCAGCGCTTCGGCTTCACGTACTCCTCGCCTCAGGCCACTCCTCTGCCTACTCGCCACTCACTCTCAGCTCTGCCTTCGGATGAGTCCGTAGAGTCGAGTGGTCTGTATGCAAAGCTTGTTGGCTGCCTCATGTACCTGATGACCTGCACACGACCTGACCTTGCATATCCTCTGAGCATTCTTGCACGCTATGTTGCTCCTGGGAGACACAGACCAGAGCACATGGCTGCAGCGAAGAGGGTATTGCGCTACCTGTGCAGTACGTCGGGCATGGGGCTAGTGCTTGGAGGGCGGAGTCCAGTGGTCCTTACCGGCCACGCGGACGCTTCTTGGGCTGACGACCAGGCTACGCAGCGGTCGTCACAGGGTTACACCTTCAGCCTTGGTTCCGGCTCTGTCTCGTGGCGGTCTACTCGCTCGTCTTCGGTTCTCGGCTCCAGTTGTGAGGCTGAGATCTACGCCGGGGCCATGGCTGCACAGGAGCTTCGCTGGCTCACCTACCTGCTGACTGACCTTTGAGAGCCGCCTCGTTCTCCTCTAGTGCTGTACGTAGACAACAAGGCCATGCTGGCCTTGTGTCGAGAGCAGCGCTTGGAGCACAGAACGAAGCACATTGCTCTCCGCTACTTCCTTGCTCGTGAGCTGCAGCAGCGTGGTCAGTTGCGACTTGCGTACGTGGCCTCTGAGGCCAACACTGCTGATGTGTTCACCAAGGCACTCGCGCCTTGTGATCATCAGCGCTTTTGCACCCAGCTGGGTCTTGTGTCTGTCTTGCCTCACTTGCTCTCCTCTTGACTTTACTTGTACTGTGACATATAATATACCTGCTCTTGCTTGTCTAGTTTTATATATATGTCTGTACTCCTGCATGTGAACTGGCCTCTGGCCCTGCTCTTGTGCTCGGACTGTGTGGTGACTTTGTGATCCACCCTGAGCTTGCTTTGCTTTGCTTGACTGGTCTTGTGACCCCTTGTTCTCCCCCACTTTGCCTATGGGGGTGTGTCAAACATTATATATGTTATACTTGTGTAGGCTACAGTGGGTTAGCCTATAGGGGGTACACAATTCTAGGGTTTACTACTTGTACTCTTTTCACTTCTAGCATCATCCATTTTTCCTGTTCGCTTATTCTCACATGTCCAACACCCTCCGAATCCTGGCCTCCAACCCCCCCACCTCCGCCTCTCCCCTTGCAGCACAGATAAGTTTCAAAACATTTCCTTTGACTTCCACTTCGAAGGCCTAGCACCAAAGGCCTATGCCACCTTACCCGCTTTCTACGAGAGCGCCACTGGTTACTATGTGGCAAACATTCCCTGCCACGTGACGGTCGACCGTGTGAAAGGCACTTGGAATTGCACCGGCTCACAATCCACAGCGCTCACTACGCCTTACAAGCCACTCGGGTCCTTAAGGTTCTTGGTCGATGCTGGTCTGTTCAATAATCCCTCGGCCTTCTACGTTGGGGTTACAGTTAACCAAGCAATAGTCGATGTGGTTACATTTAACGATCTTTTGGTGAAGGGGATGGTGGGAGCGAGTGTAAGGAGCTTCTGACAGATCTCCCTGGCACGGCCAGTCTTGATTCTTCCAGCGCTGGGTTTTCACACTAGACTTGTTACTTCCTACATGCTAGGCCACCTGCTCCTACTTCCATATGGTTCCAAAATATAAGGTTTTTTTCGTGGATTTATGTGTCTAATCTACGCTCCACTACCATAATTCGCTTCCCTCATGGCCCAAAGTTGCACCTGGACCACTCTTTGGGATTACCCAAATATTGATGCAAACACCTGTGGTCGTTCCTACGCTCTGCATCAGCAGCGGAACCTCTGGACATCCCCCATCAGAACAGATAGGAGCTTAATGTTGTTAGGATCCTTTGTACCTACAGTCCAGATATTTATTGTAAGTATACAGAAGGTGTGTTCAGGATTTTGTATTTTGTACATAACTAAAGCTGCTTTGCAAGATGTGCAAGTGTAGGTATTTTTCAATATCTCAAATGGACCGATTGGTACACAGCACAACCTCGGCATTTGTCGTTCCCAATTTTCTCAAGTTACTGAATGATCTAACACTGCTGGGTTGGTGTAAGGAATTTTCTCGGCATTCCTTACGGAGCCCGACTACATCGCGTAAAGCAACAGCCGTTGTTCGCCCGTTACTGCTAATGGGACTTCGCCAACTTCGCGCGCACTGTTTTGCCAAACCTCGCACTTGCTGGCCCGGCCGTGTCGGCCTACGCTTCGGGACTAGCCCGAGCCTCGCTGCCAGCGTAGCACTAGCTAGCTCGCAAGCACCGCGTTACCGTTAGCATGTTCGCGTATAAATGTTCGCTCATGCCTTCGCTCACATCTTTGTACTCGTTTTGACACCTTAGTGCAATTCTCGCTACTTCGATTCATTGCACCCGTAACAGTTGGTCGCACCCCACCTGGTTCCCGCGTTTTGCGGAAGTGTCTCACAAGAGAGGCTAACGGTTGCTGATTACTCAGGCCTACGAACGGGAGGAAGGACTCTCTTTCTTTTTTCGCGTGCTCCTTGGCGTACTAAGATATTAATGCGGAAGCTATAGGTGACTTATTCGCGGCTTATCTATAGCGGGTCGGAATAGGCGCTCCGCATCCAGCAATAGCGCTGTTTCCAGTTCCATTTCGACGCGACCAGTTCTAGTGTTGAAGGACGAGGCTTTTTAATCCTGTTATTTATTGTGCAGCTGCTGCTGCATAGTTAATTTATCGCGAATAAGCAATTAGTCGTTGCGGTACGACAATAACTGAAATCCCGCAGAAGTCGCTGCGGCGACAAAGGATTCTCTGCTGAAGTCATCTCTTTGTGACGGAATGCCGCCCAAAGCTCCTATCACGCGGTAAGCATTTTCTGAGGGTATCAAACTCAACATTTAAAACTCCCATCACGCAATTAACTGCTAATTTGATTCAGGGCTGACTCGTTTTATGCCTTAATCGTTCAATCCAGAGATTTGCTTCGATGGCTTGTTCTGGTCATCGGAGAACACACACATTCTGGGATTCAACCCGTTTTCATATTACTAAAAATCTTCTACACATCTTTCTTACCCACCTGTTCTTCTGCTTTCTTAAGGCCAGTCTACACACAAAAGAATCTTACGTCCTACCCCCACCTGTTCACTACCTGCTCCATGCTCCCATCGCAGAGGAAGGTTCCAGGTAATAGAAGGCGATCAGTCCGACAGCGACATAGATGTTTCCCCATGGCCGCCGTCCTCCGCCTCGTCAGCGGCCGGCAGGGCAGCAGCCGGCGCTCCTGCAGGCGCCGCCGTCGCCGCCGCAGTAGCAGGCCCAGTAGAAGCAACAGGAGCAGCGCCGAGTCGAGGCTTGGCCAAGCAGGGATCAGGGCCGTTGGATCGTCGGCGGGTGCTGGACAGCGTCAGTGGTCCTCTGCCTGCTGCTGCTGCTCCTCCGTCCGCCACAGCTGCTGCTGCTACTGCTGCTGACTCAGTTGCCGCTATCGCTGCTTCTGCTGCTGCGACTTCAGCATCTGCTGCCGCAGCAGCTGCTTCTTCTGTGACTGCTGCTGCTGCCGGTGGGCCCACTGGCACCAGCAGCCGTGGCAGCAGCGGTGGTGGCACCATAAGCAATGGGGGTTCATCTAGTGCAGGTAGCACCCGCCCTGGTGCTACCTCCCAGGAGCCTCGCCCCAGGCAGTTCCTGTCCGGGCCTCTTCCTGCCCTGGACGAGGGTCCGGAGGAGGATTGGCGCAAGGGGCAACGGGCAGAGAGCAAAGGGCTAGGGGTAAGGGCAGCGGGCGCAGCAGCAGTGGCTGAGGTTGATGGGGGAGTGGAAAAAGAGGCCGCTGCTGCTGCAGCAACTGGTGGTGCCAGTGGCGGTGCATATCCGGCTGTTGGCAGGGCTGTCTCTTGTGTTGCAGAGACAGCAGGGGGGGACTCGGCACATCTGGCTGGGAGAGCTTGGTCGTCCGGGCCTTTGCCAGACAAAGGGGCTTCTGGGGCTGCTGCTGCTGCTGGTCCTGGTGCTGGTGTCGCTGGAGTTTCTGGGTTGTCGCGCGGACCAGCAACAGGGGCAGTAGCAGCAACAGTAGCACGAGCAGGAGGAGGAGCAGAAGGGGCATTTGCAGCTGTTGTGACAGGACGGGGAGAGAGGGAAGCGGGGGTTGGGGCGAGGGGGGACGGGAAGGCGGGAGTTCCCCTGGGGGGGGCGGAGGGGCAGGCGGGGGGGGTGAGGGGAAAGGCGAAGAGTGGGCCGCTGTTGGGCGACAAGGCTGCAGCAGCAGCCGGGGTGATTGTAGTGGACCAGTTCTTGGTGAAGGACGATGCAGAGCGGTACGTGGTGGTTGTGTGCGGTATAGGGTATTCCGTTCGCTGAGCAGAGCTGGGAAATGTGATGTTATGGTTACCAATTGTTGCGTGGACATGGTCGTGTGTGTGTCCATGCCTCCATGCTTTGTGCCCTTTCTTATTCACTCTTCCCACTTCCCTCCTCTCTTCCTATTCCTCTTCCCCTCCGCCCCCCCTCCCCTCTCCTTCCCCCTCCCTTCCCCCTCCCCCTCCTTTACCCCTCCCTATCTCCCCCCTCCCCACCCCTAACTACCTACTCCTCTATTCGCTCACTTCCCCAATGCGCCCCTTTCCGCTGTCATCCGCCGCCCCCCTGTGCCCCGCTGCACCTCCCTGCGCCCCCTTGTGCCCCTCTGCGCCCCCTGTGCCCCTGTCCTCCTCAGCGCCGGCCTTTCCCCGCATTTACCCCCCTGTGCCCACTCTGTGCCCCCCGGTGCCCCCCTTTGCTCCCTGAGCGAGCAGGCATGCAGGCGCCAAGGCATCTCGTGTGGGGAAGCTGCCATCGCGCTTCACATTCGAGACTGCAAACGACCCATCGGATTTCGAGGACGGCTCTCCTCTCCCTGCTGCTGCCTATACACACCCCTCTGGGACCTCCTCCCTCCCGGCCACTGCTGCTGCTCCCGCCACCACCTCTGCTGCTTCTCTTCCTGCCGACAACCCCCCTGCTGCTGCTGCCGCCGCCGCCATTACTGCTGGTGCCGTTGCTGGTGCTGATTCCGGTTCTGCCCCAGCTGCCCGTACGGGTGGTTCTGTTGCTGCGCCTGCTGCCTTGTCCGTAAACACAGGAGGTGCATCTGGTGCAGGCTCATTTGCTGCTTCCCTTTCAAGCAGAGGCGCTCCTCCTGTGAAGACCTATTCCGGCCAGATACAGCCTGCACCAGGTACGCCCTCCCCACATGAGTCCACAGGGGGCGGGGGCTTTACTGTTCATAGAGGCCCAGGTGGAACCACAGGCAGGTTCACAGAGGTGCGGGAGGGGCGAGGGAGAGAGGAGGGGGGAAAGGAGGAGAGGTGGGGGGTGGAGCGGGTGAGAGAGGAGGAGAGGGAGCGGAGGAGAGATGAAAGGGGGAAGGTGGAGAGGGGGAGAGAGGAGAAGGGGAAGGAGGAGAGGGGGAGAGAGGAGCGAGCGAGAGAGGAGAGAGTGAGGGGAGAGCGAGGGAAGGAGACACGGACGAGAGATGAGAAGGCGGGCCCGAGGGAAGGAGGGGTGCTTTCCCGTGAACTGGGGAAGCCTAAGGAGGAGAGGGTGCGAGAGGAGAAGAGGAGGGAGGAGAGGAGGGAGGAGAGGAGCAAGGAGGGAGGTGGGTCCAGGGAATTGAGAGGGCGGGAGGAGAAGGGGAAAGAGGAGAGGGGAGGAGGGGGAGCAGGAGGAGGAGGAGTAGGAGGAGGAGGAGGAGGAGGAGGAGGAGGAGGAGGAGGAGGAGGAGGAGGAGGAGGAGGAGGAGGGGGAGGAGGAGGAGGAGGAGGAGGAGGAGGAGGAGGAGGAGGAGGAGGAGGAGGAGGAGGAGGAGGAGGAGGAGGAGGGGGTGGGGGAGGGGCAGGAGGAGGAGGGGGAGCAACAGTGGCAGGGCGGGCAGGCGTGCAGCAGAAGGGGCGGTTCTCAGTGACGACAGACGACTCGGACGACGAGGAGGAGAGCATGGGCCTGGCGCCCATTGTGCTGCGCAGCTCGCTCATGCAACGCCCGCCAGGCCAACAACAGCCGGCTGCTGGAGGGGGCATAGTGCCGCCCAACCGCCCTCCCACGCCCTCCCATGGGGCGCCTGCTGCTGCTGCTGGGTCCTCCCACCTCCCTTCCTTCAGAAAGGTATGTTTTAAAGGAAGAAAACTGGAAATATGCCTCTTGCCTGTGAGACGACTTTTGAGGCGCCTCAGAAGTCTCCTCCTGCTGCTGCTGCTGCTGCTGCTGCTGCTGCTGGGTCCTCCCACCTCCCTTGTTTCAGAAAGGTGGGTGAAGGAAAGAAAGAAGAGGCGAAACATTGGTGTGGCTTTCTTACCTTCATGCTCCATCTTTCTTTACTCTCTTTACATCCGTCCCCAAACCTCCTCCTCCTCTCCTTGCTCCCATCCCATCTCCGTCTGTCAGATGTGGCCCCTTGTCATTCAGTCTCTCTCCTCCTTTCGTGTTTTCCTGTCTGCCGTTCTCTCTCCCTGCACAGGAATCCATGGCGTCTGCAAGCGGGCCGCTGCTCGCTGCCTTTTGAGTCGACTCAAAAGTCACCTTGTTCCTGTCTGCCGTTCTCTCTCCCTGCACAGGATTCCATGGCGTCTGCAAGCGGGCCGCTGTCCGCTGCAGCAGCACCCTCCCCTCGTACCTCCTCCACATCCTCCTCCTCCTCGGGCCCCCTCCCCTCCCTCCACTCCTCGTCCTCCTCCTCCTCCCTCATCTCTGCTGCTCCCCTCACTCCCTCAAAAGGGAATCCAATTGCGTCTGTGCCAGGGGCAGCAGCAGCAGCAGCAGGGACAGGGACAGGGGCAGCAAGAGTGGGTACAGCAGCGGCTGTAGCAGCAGCAGGGGCGGGTGGATTGGTGAAGGTGCAGCTGGGGCAGCAGGGCACTCGGCGGACTTCAGTGCAGGTGAATACTGGAATGAGGTGAGAGCTCAGATGAATGTTAAAATGAGATGACACTTCAGGTGAAGAGCAGGATAAGAGTTATTATGACTGCCAGTGTTGTGGACTGCCTATTGCTGCCTGTGCTCCGACTTATCTCCTCTTTCCTCCTAACTCGCACACATGAGCGCGCGCACACGCGCGCACGCAGGAGTGCATGCACGCACGTGCATCCCCATGCACACTTGCAAACGCACGCACACACACTGACACACGCATGCGCGCATACACACACACGCGCACACACATGCACACACAGCCACGCACACTCACATGCATGCATGCACGCACACTCACATGCTCTCTCTTTCTTGCCCCATTTTCTCCCTTCCATCGGACCCCTTCTTCCATCAGGTCTCCTCCTCTCCCACTTCGGCCCACTCCACTCCCACAACACCAGCTGCAGCAGCAGCACCAGCAGCAGCAGGTGGGGGAGCAGGTTCAGGGTTGCTTGTGACTCCTCGCACGAGGAGACACCTCAACGCACAGCAGCAGCAGCAGCAAAGCCTGCTACAAAGGCAGCAGCTGCAGAACCAGCAGCAGCAAATGCAGCTTCTGTTGCAGCAGCAGCAGCAGCAGCAGCAGCAGCAGCAGCAGCAGTTGTTGCATCGGCGGTCGTCCGTCTCATCGTCTCGCACCCAGCCATCGGTGTGTTTGCGTTCCTTTCCCCGTCTTACAGTGCTCGTAACCCAAATATTACAGCCTTAATGTTTCTTGTTTTAATTATTGTTATCTAGAAACACTACAACTCTACTGTGTCTGTCCAGCCCACGTGTCATGCGCGCTAATGTGCTCCTCTCTCTCACTACCTGCGTGTGTCTCTGTCTCCCTGTTGCACACACCTCTACTTGTCTTGTCCCTTCGCCTTGGCTTGCTACTTTCGGACCCCCTCCCTCCCACTGTCTCCCAAATCTCTTCCCCCCGTCCTCCCGTCCTCCCCGCACCCCTCTCCGCCCGCTCCGCTACTCACGCCCACAAGCTTGCCTCTGAATCACCAGTAGGCCCTCAATATATATCTGCTGTTTCTCTTTTGAGAATTCTCAAAAGTGATTACCAAGGAGTTTCACTTCTCTCATACTCCATCCTATCCTTTCATTCCCTCCTCCCTCCCCCTTCCCTTTCCCCCCACCATTTCCCACATCCACCATCCCGTTCCCCCTTTTTCCATACTCCCCTCTCCTCTCCACCAATCAGAGTCCGTCCGTGGCGTCCCTCAGGCCCATAAAGGTGTTGTCCTTTGAGACACCTCAAAAGCCGTTTCCCCTTCTTCCCCCGTTCTCCCCCCACGTCTACCCCCCCTTCTCTTCCCGCCTGCTCCACCAATCAGAGCCCGTCTGTGGCGTCCCTCAGGCCAGTGAAGGGTGTCGTCCTTTCCTCCTCCTCCTTCTCCTCCGCCTCCCTCGCTCGCTCCCTGCTGCCGCCCTCCTCCATGCCCTCCCTCTCCTTCATGCTCCAAAGCATATCAAACCAGGTACGCCCTGCCCTAGAAACGCCCTAGTTTTGAGATGCCTCAAAAGTCAAACCAACAGGTACTCCCTGCCCTAGAAACGCCCTATTTTTGAGACATCTCGAAAGTCAAACCAGGTACACCCTGCCCTAGAAACGCCCTAGTTTTGAGATGTCTCAAAAGTCAAAGAAGGTACACCCTGCCCTAGTTACCCTAGTTCTGTCCCATCCGAGTTCACCAACCATCCCTGCAGCAACACACTCATCTATTTAGTTGAGCATCCCTGCCATCTGTACATTCTCCCTACGATCCTCTCTGCATTCTTATTCGACCTAAAACATCCACCCTCTCGTTCTCTCTCATCCTCACCCACCGCCTCACCCTCCCCGCACCGACCTGTGCAGCCTCCCTACCTTCTATGCACTCGCTGCCCTCCACCAGAATCCTCGCTGCCCTCCACCAGAATCCTCGCTGCCCTCCACCAGAATCCTCGCTGCCCTCCACCAGAATCCTCGCTGCCCTCCACCAGAATCCTCTCTGCCCTCCACCGTCCTCTTCTCTACCCTTGCTTCTTGGACTGCCTAAACAACTCTTTTTCTTGCCTTACTGTTCATGCTTCACCCCCCATTCCTCCCTGCAGCCTTCCAGCCGAGCATCCCTGCTTTTGGTGCACTCGCTGCCCTCCACCATCCTCTCTCTCCCCCGTCTCCTGGGCCGTATAAACAACTCTCTGTCTCTACTGTTCATGCTTCACCCACCCATCTCTCCTAGCAGCCGTCCAGTCGGGCCTCCCTGCCATCGGTGCACTCGCTGCCCTCCACCATCCTCTCTGCGCCTGCTCGCTCCTCTGCCTCCTCTGCCTCTGCTGTCTCCGATGCTCTTATTGTGGTTCCCCACTTGAGAGCGTTACTCAGGCATGCTTCGGAGCAGCAGGTACACTCTGCTCTGCTTTTCTGTGCTGTGCTCAGCTCTCCTTTTCTGCGCTGTGGTGTGCTCTGCTCTGCTTTTCTGTGCTGTACTGTGCTCTGCTCTGCTATGTGTATTGTGCTATGACACATCTGCCATCACGACTCTCTCTGCTGCCATGAGCATCTCAGCCCCCTCTGCTGCCATGAAATGAAACCTGCTACTTAAGCCTCTCATTACCTCTCCTCTCTGCAACTATTCTGTCCTCGCGCGTGTCTCTCTCGTTTCCTCCCTTTTCAGAAACCTTTTGTTCGTATGTGCCTTGTGTTGCTGATGCACTGGAGGTTCTTGTGGAATATTTCTAAGAATTCTAAAGAGGCATTCTGTTCGCGCGTGTCTTGTGTTTGCCATGTGTCTCAATGCATTGCCATGTCTTGCCCTGCATTCCCATGTCTTGCCCTGCATTGCCATGTCTTGCCCTGCATTGCCATGTCTTGCCCTGCATTGCCATGTCTTGCCCTGCATTGCCATGTCTTGCCCTGCATTCCCATGTCTTGCCCTGCATTGCCATGTCTTGCCCTGCATTGCCATGTCTTGCCCTGCATTGCCATGTCTTGCCCTGCATTCCCATGTCTTGCCCTGCATTGCCATGTCTTGCCCTGCATTGCCATGTCTTGCCCTGCATTCCCATGTCTTGCCCTGCATTCCCATGTCTTGCCCTGCATTGCCATGTCTTGCCCTGCATTGCCATGTCTTGCCCTGCATTCCCATGTCTTGCCCTGCATTCCCATGTCTTGCCCTGCATTGCCATGTCTTGCCCTGCATTCCCATGTCTTGCCCTGCATTCCCATGTCTTGCCCTGCATTCCCATGTCTTGCCCTGCATTGCCATGTCTTGCCCTGCATTCCCATGTCTTGCCCTGCATTGCCATGTCTTGCCCTGCATTGCCATGTCTTGCCCTGCATTCCCATGTCTTGCCCTGCATTCCCATGTCTTGCCCTGCATTCCCATGTCTTGCCCTGCATTGCCATGTCTTGCCCTGCATTCCCATGTCTTGCCCTGCATTCCCATGTCTTGCCCTGCATTCCCATGTCTTGCCCTGCATTCCCATGTCTTGCCCTGCATTCCCATGTCTTGCCCTGCATTGCCATGTCTTGCCCTGCATTGCCATGTCTTGCCCTGCATTGCCATGTCTTGCCCTGCATTGCCATGTCTTGCCCTGCATTGCCATGTCTTGCCCTGCATTGCCCTGCATTGCCATGTCTTGCCCTGCATTGCCATGTCTTGCCCTGCATTGCCATGTCTTGCCCTGCATTCCCATGTCTTGCCCTGCATTCCCATGTCTTGCCCTGCATTGCCATGTCTTGCCCTGCATTGCCATGTCTTGCCCTGCATTGCCATGTCTTGCCCTGCATTGCCATGTCTTGCCCTGCATTGCCATGTCTTGCCCTGCATTCCCATGTCTTGCCCTGCATTCCCATGTCTTGCCCTGCATTGCCATGTCTTGCCCTGCATTGCCATGTCTTGCCCTGCATTGCCATGTCTTGCCCTGCATTGCCATGTCTTGCCCTGCATTGCCATGTCTTGCCCTGCATTGCCATGTCTTGCCCTGCATTGCCATGTCTTGCCCTGCATTGCCATGTCTTGCCCTGCATTGCCATGTCTTGCCCTGCATTGCCATGTCTTGCCCTGCATTCCCATGTCTTGCCCTGCATTCCCATGTCTTGCCCTGCATTCCCATGTCTTGCCCTGCATTGCCATGTCTTGCCCTGCATTCCCATGTCTTGCCCTGCATTCCCATGTCTTGCCCTGCATTCCCATGTCTTGCCCTGCATTCCCATGTCTTGCCCTGCATTCCCATGTCTTGCCCTGCATTGCCATGTCTTGCCCTGCATTGCCATGTCTTGCCCTGCATTCCCATGTCTTGCCCTGCATTCCCATGTCTTGCCCTGCATTGCCATGTCTTGCCCTGCATTGCCATGTCTTGCCCTGCATTGCCATGTCTTGCCCTGCATTCCCATGTCTTGCCCTGCATTGCCATGTCTTGCCCTGCATTGCCATGTCTTGCCCTGCATTGCCATGTCTTGCCCTGCATTGCCATGTCTTGCCCTGCATTCCCATGTCTTGCCCTGCATTGCCATGTCTTGCCCTGCATTCCCATGTCTTGCCCTGCATTGCCATGTCTTGCCCTGCATTGCCATGTCTTGCCCTGCATTGCCATGTCTTGCCCTGCATTGCCATGTCTTGCCCTGCATTGCCATGTCTTGCCCTGCATTGCCATGTCTTGCCCTGCATTGCCATGTCTTGCCCTGCATTGCCATGTCTTGCCCTGCATTGCCATGTCTTGCCCTGCATTCCCATGTCTTGCCCTGCATTCCCATGTCTTGCCCTGCATTGCCATGTCTTGCCCTGCATTGCCATGTCTTGCCCTGCATTGCCATGTCTTGCCCTGCATTGCCATGTCTTGCCCTGCATTGCCATGTCTTGCCCTGCATTGCCATGTCTTGCCCTGCATTGCCATGTCTTGCCCTGCATTGCCATGTCTTGCCCTGCATTGCCATGTCTTGCCCTGCATTCCCATGTCTTGCCCTGCATTCCCATGTCTTGCCCTGCATTGCCATGTCTTGCCCTGCATTGCCATGTCTTGCCCTGCATTGCCATGTCTTGCCCTGCATTGCCATGTCTTGCCCTGCATTGCCATGTCTTGCCCTGCATTGCCATGTCTTGCCCTGCATTCCATGTCTTGCCCTGCATTGCCATGTCTTGCCCTGCATTCCCATGTCTTGCCCTGCATTGCCATGTCTTGCCCTGCATTGCCATGTCTTGCCCTGCATTGCCATGTCTTGCCCTGCATTGCCATGTCTTGCCCTGCATTGCCATGTCTTGCCCTGCATTGCCATGTCTTGCCCTGCATTGCCATGTCTTGCCCTGCATTGCCATGTCTTGCCCTGCATTGCCATGTCTTGCCCTGCATTGCCATGTCTTGCCCTGCATTGCCATGTCTTGCCCTGCATTGCCATGTCTTGCCCTGCATTGCCATGTCTTGCCCTGCATTGCCATGTCTTGCCCTGCATTGCCATGTCTTGCCCTGCATTGCCATGTCTTGCCCTGCATTGCCATGTCTTGCCCTGCATTGCCATGTCTTGCCCTGCATTGCCATGTCTTGCCCTGCATTGCCATGTCTTGCCCTGCATTGCCATGTCTTGCCCTGCATTGCCATGTCTTGCCCTGCATTGCCATGTCTTGCCCTGCATTGCCATGTCTTGCCCTGCATTGCCATGTCTTGCCCTGCATTGCCATGTCTTGCCCTGCATTGCCATGTCTTGCCCTGCATTGCCATGTCTTGCCCTGCATTGCCATGTCTTGCCCTGCATTGCCATGTCTTGCCCTGCATTGCCATGTCTTGCCCTGCATTGCCATGTCTTGCCCTGCATTGCCATGTCTTGCCCTGCATTGCCATGTCTTGCCCTGCATTGCCATGTCTTGCCCTGCATTGCCATGTCTTGCCCTGCATTGCCATGTCTTGCCCTGCATTGCCATGTCTTGCCACGCACTGTTGAACCACAGGAGGTGCTCTTCACACTCATCAAAGAGCTCTCAGACGCACATCCAGGTGAGATCCGTGTCAGCATGTTGGCATGCTCACTCCTATGCCCTTCACTACTTTTCCGGTCCTCCTGCTCCTGCTGGCCTTTTTCAGGCGCCTCATTTAAGTCAACACTTGCTCGTATTGTGCCTCTCCCTGCTTGTGGTGAGACCATGTCTCGCTGCCCTCTCACATCTGCCGTGCCCATATGTAACATCCCATCCCCCCCCTGCTGATGCTTCTTTTTGTTTGGGCAAACGCTAGTCATTCGAGCCAGGTGCCTCAGAAGCCTTTCATCCCCTGCTGTGCTCCCTCTGTTATCTCCCATCCTTTCCTTTTTCCCTCTTTCAGAGATTAAGAATCCAGAGCAGTCAGCAGCGCTGCTGGGAGGCATCAAGGTACGCCACATGCTCTTTCATTGAAGAGTCACTTTTAAGGATTCTCAAAGCGAATCCCAAAAATAAGCAGCGCTACTGGGAGGCATCAAGGTACGCCACATGCTCTTTCATTGAAGAGTCACTTTTAAGGATTCTCAAAGCGAATCCCAAAAGTAAGCAGCGCTGCTGGGAGGCATCAAGGTATGCCGCATGCTCTTTCATGAAAGAGTCACTTTTAAGGACTCTCAAAGCGAATCTAAAAAATAAGCAGCGCTGCTGGGAGGCATCAAGGTACGCCACATGCTCTTTCATTGTAGAGTCACTTTTAAGGACTCTCAAAGCGAATCCCAAAAATAAGCTGCGCTGCTGGGAGGCATCAAGGTACGCCGCATGCTTTTCCGCTTCACTCGCTTCAGCGAGCTCCGTTATTGTTGTCATTTTCACCTTTGTTTTTGTCGCCCTGATCGTTGGCGTTCCGATGGCATGCATGCAGGTGGAGCTGCCATCAGAGAGGGAGCGCGAGCTGATGCAGCAGATAGCGGAGATGAGGTGCAAGGTGGCCACGCTGGTGGATAATGTTATCACCTACCGCAAGCGCAACGCGCAGGTGAGTGTGGTGTGGTGTGGCTTCAAGCAGCTTTCTTGTTGCATGTGGTTTTCTGGAATCTCTCCAAACAACACCATGGCAGCAAAATGGCGGCGCTGGTGGATAATGTTACCACCTACCTCAACCGCAACGCCCAGGTTTTGTCTTGAGTGCTTCTTGTTTTGTAGCGGAGCTGACGCAGCAGATTGCTGCGATAAGACATGTAGGGCGCGACTTGAACGCCCAGGTGAGCGCAGTTTGTGGTGAGTCCGCATGCTGAGACTTATGTCCAGTCCGTTTTGTCATCACGCAGTCGATAGGAAAGGGCAGGTGTGTGCAGTTAGCTGTGGCGAGTGCAGTTAGCTGTGGCGAGTGCAGTTAGCTGTGGCGAGTGCAGTTAGCTGTGGCGAGTGCAGTTAGCTGTGGCGAGTGCAGTTAGCTGTGGCGAGTGCATTTAGCTGTGGCGAGTGCAGTTAGCTGTGGCGAGTGCAGTTAGCTGTGGCGAGTGCAGTTAGCTGTGGCGAGTGCAGTTAGCTGTGGCGAGTGCAGTTAGCTGTGGCGAGTGCAGTTAGCTGTGGCAAGTGCAGTTAGCTGTGGCGAGTGCAGTTAGCTGTGGCGAGTGCAGTTAGCTGTGGCGAGTGCAGTTAGCTGTGGCGAGTGCAGTTAGCTGTGGCGAGTGCAGTTAGCTGTGGCGAGTGCAGTTAGCTATGGCGAGTCCGCTTGTGAGGTGGTATTGTGAGTCCCTTGTGTCTAGAGCAGTCAGCCAGAATTCTGAGGTGGGAGCTGTGTGTCATGGTGCAGTCAACTAAAAAGCTCAGGTAAAGCTGCTGCCAACAGCCAACACTGAGGTGGCTTCTCTCAGAAGACATGTACCGTGACACATGCACCGTGACACATGCACCGTGACATGTGCAGAATTCTGAGGTGGGAGCTGTGTGACACGGTGCAGTCAACCGAAAAGCTCAGGTAAAGCTGCTGCCAACAGCCAACACTGAGGTGGCTTCTCTCCCCCTACTCCTCTTTCCCTCTCCTCTCCCTGCCCTCCCCCCTCCTCTCCCCCTTCCCTCCTCCCCTCCTCTCCTGTTTCGTGCCTCCACATGTGGTTGCTTCAGTTGGAGAAGCAGGTGGTGGCATTTCAGTAGCAGAAGGAGGAGAGAGAAGCATATCGTCTTTCCTGACTTCTGCTCTTTCTCCCTCTCTCCTCCCGTTTCCCGTGTTCCCCCCAACCCCCCGTCCCCTCGTCCTCCGTTCCCTCCCCCTACGTGTGGTTGCTTCAGTTGGAGGAGCAGATGGCGGCATTTCAGCAAAGGAAGGAGGAGAGGCAACCCTGCTGCCATTTCTGACCCCTGCTCTTTCCCCCTTCCGCGCCCTTCCCTTCCTCCCATCCTCCCCCACGCGCCCTCCCTCAACGTGTGGTTGTTTCAGTTGGAGAAGCAGATGGCGACATTTCAGCGGAGGAAGGAGGAGAGAGAATCATATCGTCTTTCCTGACTTCTGCTCTTTCTCCCTCCCTCCCGTTTCCCGTGTTCCTCCGTTCTCTCCCTCAACGTGTGGGTGCTTCAGTTAGAGAAGCAGGTGGCGGCATTTCAGCAGAGGAAGGAGGAGAGAGAAAGGCAGGGCGTGGTGCTGAGACGAGGGAGGTGACTTAACAGGGTGTTGGTGAGGCGAGAGCAGTGCCTGTGGTGAGGGGACGGAGTGAAAAGAGGGCATGAGGGGTGAAAGGAAGAGAGTTGATACAGGTGCAAGGGTTAGGAAGGGGATTTCTGAGGAGCTTGACAGCTGCTACGGCAACCACGTTTGACTGCGGTGGCACATCAGGGCAGCTGATCACAGCTTTCTAGGAGCTGATCACTCGCAGAACTGTTAGCAAGTTGCAACGGTTCTTGAATTTAGAGATAATGCCTTACAGAGTGTGTAGGTAGGTACGTTTCGCAGCAGCATGCGTCTTCTGTTTTATCATCATGTAGGGCAGGGATCCATCAGCGTGTCTTTTGTTTTAGTCATCATCTACACACAAATCTCCACACAAATCTCAAGGCATGTGACGCATTCTAATATAGACATGGTGTTACGGGTGCAATGGATCGAGGTAGCGAGGATTGCACTAAGGTGTCAAACGAGTACAAAATGTGAGCGAAGGCATGAGCGAACATTTATATGCGAAACATGCAAACGGTAACGCGGTGCGTGCGACCTAGCTAGTGCTATGCTGACAGCGAGGCTCGGGTTAGTCCCGAAGCGTAGGCCGACACGGCCGGGCCAGCAGTGCGAGGTTTGGCAAAACAGTGCGCGCGAAGTTGGCGAAGCCCCGTTAGCAGTAACGGGCGAACAACGGCTGTTGCTGTATGCGATGTAGTCGGGCTCCGTAAGGAATGCCGAGAAAATTCCTTACACTACCCCCCCCTCAAGAAGCCCCCTCCGCTAGGCTAGTGCGTGTATATCGCGGAATCGTCGGCTCCTCAGGTACACTTGCAGGGTAGGGTGGTTTTCGATGTTGGCCAGGGGCACCCAACTATCTTTAGTTGGCGTGCGATCCTTCCAGCGAACGAGGAATTCAATCCTCCTGATTCCCGTGGGGTGCCGAATTCGATGGCTCATACCGTAATTTTTTCGGGCTCGATGATCGGCTCCGATGCAAGGCGAGTCATGGATGGCGGGCGGTGGCGAGGCAGTTGGCTTGTGGTTGGGATGTATGGGCGAAGCAAGCTGACGTGGAATGAAGGGCTGATGTATCAGTTCGTCGGCAACAGTAGGTGAGCTGTTACTGGGGTAATCATGTGGCCGATTTAGAATGGTCCACAGTAGCGGGGTCTTAATTTCGGTACGACGGGCAGTCTTAAGTTTTGCGTGTCGAGCAGTACGTAATCTCCTAACTGGTACGTGACTGGGTGGCGGTGGCGGTCAGCGTTGCGCTTAGCGATGACGTTGGCTTTTTTAATTGCTTCTGCGGCTCTGGTGCAGGCAGCTTGCAGAATTTCGGCGAATTGCTGTGCACGTGGTGTTGGGTTGTCCGGACTCGGCGTCAGGGGCACTATAGGGTTTTGCTCGTAGTTCAGGTAGAAGGGGGACTGCTGCGTCGTCGCTGACGTGGCGTTGTTGTACGCGAACTTGATCAGCCGCAGCTGCTGCTCCCAAGTCGTGGGGTCGTCGCACGTGGCACGAATTAACTGCTCCATCGTCTGATTCGTCCGCTCCGTTTGACCGTCGGTCTCGGGGTGGTACGACGAGCTGAACTGTAGCCGTGTCCCGAACTGAGAGGTTCTTCCAGAAGTTGCTGGTGAACTTCGTGTCCTTGTCGCTGATAATTGCTGCTGGTGTCCCGTGCAGGCGAACAACGACTGCGATAAACAGGCGAGCGGTCTCCTCGGCTGAGATCGACTTTTTGCACGCAGCGAAGTGTGCCATCTTCGTCAACCTGTTAACGACGACCATCACCGCGTCGTTACCCCCAGGGTTCGAAGGTAACCGCGTGACAAAGTTGTCAAACATTATATATGTTATAGTTATGTAGGCTATAGTGGGTTTAGCCTTAGGGGGTACACAATTCTAGGCTTTCCTACTTGTACTTCTCAATCTTCCTAGTGCAATCACTTCTCTCTTTCTAACATGGTATTACGAGCCTAGGTTAGGAACCTAGGACCGCTTCCGCTAGTAGCGCCCTCGAGCGCCTTCTCGCCGTCACGCCCTCGTGCGCTTCTCTCCTAGTGCGCCCTCGTGCGCCTCTCTCTTACACGCTGCCCGTGCGTAGCTCGCTAGCCGCCCGCGCGCGGCCTGTTTTCTCTAGCGCGTGCCGCCCGTTAGCCACCCGTGCAAGGCCCAAACTGCGCGCGCGGCTACTGTAGGCCGCTCACATGACTAGCGCCGCCCACGAGCAGCCCGTTAGCCGCCCGTCGACCGGCCCGGCGGCCCTTCCAGCGTGACGCAGCCCCGCCCGTAGGCAGCCGCGTCGCTTTCGTAGGCCGCCGCCCCTGCTTTCGTAGGCCGCCGCCCCTGCTTTCGTAGGCCGCCGCCCGCGCGCGACTGCAGCCCACGCACGACCGCTCGCCCCTAGGACGGCGCATGACCCACCGCCGCCCGCCCGCAGGTCGCAGCCCACGTGCAGTGGCGGTCGCGCTTCGGCTGCTGCAGTTCGCGTTTAGCTGCAGAACGCACTTAGCTGCAGCATGAACCCAACCGCGGCCTGCGTGCAGCTGTACCCTAGGCGCCGCCACGCACAGAGCACGGGCCCGCCGTCGAGCCGCTCTACCTGCCCGAGGCGCGCCGCCCGAGTCGCGCCGCCCGAGCCGCGCCTTCCTGATCAAGCCGCGCCGCCCCACCTGCAGCACCTGCTGTTCCTGTTCCTGCTGTTACAGCTGTTCTTCTCACTACAGTTGCTACTGCTACTGGTCTTACTACTACTACTACTACTGCTGCTACTGCTGCTACTGCCACTATGGCCTCTCCCACAGTTCTCACTTTCGATGCTGAGGGCCGCCCGCTCCAATTTGAAGCTTGGCTTGACGATCTGCATATGTTCCTCCAGATCACCGCTAAGGACGATGTCTCGCCGTATGACCACGCGCTCGGAACCGCTCTAGCGCCTGCTGACACTGTTGACAGTACCGCTCGCTCCCAGTGGCAGACTCGTGACGCCCACGCTGGCTTAGCCATTCGCAGCCACCTGCCGTTAGATGAGCACGCCCACTTCGGCCAGCATAAGATTGCCAAGGCACTGTACGATGCAGTCGTCGCTCGCTACTCCTCGCCAGCCTCTGCTACGATAGGCCATCTCTCGCTGCCCTATCTTTTCCCCGATCTCGTCGCCTTTCCCACAGTCTCTGACCTCATTACCCACCTCCGCACTAGTGACACTCGCTACCGAGCCACCCTTCTTGCTAAGTTCCTTGCCAAGAATCCCCCCCAATGTGCCTCGTTCTCTACCACCTAGTCACTCGTCTCCCTGACTCTCTTCGCGTAGTCAGGGACCACTTTCTCGCCCCCTGCCCCACCGAGCTCACCATTGACCTCCTCGAGAAGCATCTTCTTGCAGCTGAGTCTAGCATAGTTGCTGTAGGTGCCTCTCATGGTGACCCCCGCACGCCCTTCTTTGACGGGTGTTCCCCTCCCCCCCTTCTCCCCTCGGTTGCCTCTGCTGCCGCTGTCGACTTCCTTGGTGCTGAGGAAGTCAGGGTTGCGTTTGCTCCTAGCTGGAGGCGCAAGGGCGGCAAGGGCAAGGGGGGCAAGGGTGGTGGTGGTGCTAGCGGGGGAGGTGGAGGTGGAGGTGGAGGTGGAGGTGGCGGCGGTGGGGGTGGTGGCGGTGGCGGGGGTGGTAGCGGGGCTGGGGGGGTGGGTGGCAGCGGCGGGGGTGGTGGCGGCAGTGGTGGTGGAGGAGGTCGGGGTGGAGGTGGTGGTGGTGGTGGTGGAGGCAGTGGGCGTGGGGGTGGCGGCTCGGGTAGTGGTCGAGGTGGACCGGCGCAGCGTGGCGGTTCGGGTGGTGTCCAGCGCCAGCAGCAGCATCTTGGAAAGACCCCGTCGTCCCAGCAGCTTCGTGAGTGGTACTCTTAGCATGGGGGGTTTGGGGGCGGGGTTACCTGCACATATGTCATCCGCACAGGTGACCGCGCTGGTCAGACGTGTGGGCGGTTCCACACGCCACAGCGCTGCTTCTTCCGTCTCGACGACGCCTGGCGTGCACAGTTCCCTGAGGCCTCTGAGCTGCCCCGCTGGGCTGATCAGCTTAAAAAGAAAATTGATGTCTTTGCTCATGTATGCATTGACTATTAGTGTTGAGGGTGACTGTTACTTGTGTGTGCCGCCAGACCCAAGCATTGCGACCAGTGAGGCTGCCGCTCTAGGTGCTAGTGTGTCTGCTGCCCCAGGTCCTGGTGAGGCTGCTGCTCTAACCGCAGGTGTGTCTGCTGCTTCAGGTACTTGTGAGTCTGTGCCTTCAGGTACTGCGTCTACTGAGGCACTGCACACCTTCACATTGGACTCTGGTGCTTCTCGCTGTTTCTTTCGCGACCGCACTGCCCTCGCGCAGCTCCCTAGGCCGGTTGTTGTCTCCCTGGCTGACCCCTCTGGGGGTCCGGTCCTTGCAACCTCCACCAATGCCCTCCCTTGTCCTGCTGTCCCGTTCGGCACCCTGTCGGGCTTTTACCTCCCCTCGTTCTCTACGAACTTGGTGGCGGGTTCCGCGCTCCAGGATGCGGGTGTTCACCAGTTCACCCCTGCCTACGAGCGTGTGACACACTGCACGTGTGCCCACACGGGTCAACACCTGGCTACCTTCACTCGGCAGCCGGGGTCGGACTTGTACACACTGACCATTGAGTCCCCTCAGATAGCGGCATCTGCGTCTGCGTCAGGTCAGTTGTCCGCCCCCTGTTCGTGTCGCACCTTGTCGCACCGGACGGTCCTTTGGCACCACCGCCTTGGGCACCCTTCGATGCAGCGCCTTCGTGGCATGCACTCTCGTTACCTTGTCTCTGGTCTCCCCAGGGCCTCCCCTGCCACCGTCCCCTGCCCCTCCTGCCTTCCCTGTGTCGAGGGGCTGCAGCGTGCCACCCCTCACTCCTCGGAGTTTCCCCCGACGGAGGCCCCTCTGCAGACCCTTCACATGGACGTCTGGGGCCCAGCCCGCGTCCGTGGACAGGGAGGAGAGTGCTACTTCCTGCTAGTCGTCGACGACTACACGCGCTACACCACGGTCTTCCCCTTGCGCACCAAGGGCGAGGTCCCTGTTGTTTTGGTCCCCAGGATCCGTGCTACCCGTCTCCGGCTGGAGAGGCGCTTTCGCACGGACCTTCCCGTCCTGCGACTGCACTCTGACAGAAGTGGTGAGTTTTCCTCCGGTCTCTTGGAGACCTTCTGCCAGGGGGAGGGCATCCGCTAGACGTTCACGCTTCCGGCCTCTCCTCAGCAGAATGGGGTTGCTGAGCGCCGCATTGGCTTGGTCATGGAGGTCGCTCGTACCTCCTTGGTCCATGCGGCTGCCCCCCATTTTCTGTGGCCGTTTGCGGTCCACTACGCCGCACATCAGCTCAACCTATGGCCCCGTGTCTCCGTTACGGAGACCTCGCCGACGCTGCTTTGGACGGGAGAGGTTGGCGACGCGTTAGTGTTCCGGGTCTGGGGATCTTGTCCGCGATACGTCCGCGGACAAGCTCTCCGCCCGCTCTGTTCCCTGTGCCTTCAATGGCTTTGTCCCTGACGCGCCTGGCTGGCAGTTTTACCACCCCACCTCGCGCCGGGTCTTCGCCTCTCATGACATCAGGTTTGACGAGTCGGTCCCCTTCTACCATCTCTTCCCCTACCGCACTTCCCCGCTCCCCCCCCCGCCACTCTTCCTCACTCCAGGTGCTGCTTTGGAAGACCCCCTGCCTCCCCAGGGTCCTGCTCCCTCAGGTGTTTCCCAGGTAGACCCGGTCGAGGCTGTCGAGGTAGCTGTTGACTCTGGTCCTGCGCGAGGTACTGAGCGTGCTAAGCCTGGTGGTGCTGGGTCTGAGGGCGCTGAGCCTGGGGGTGCGGAGACTGGGGGTGCTGAGCCTGGGGGTGCGAAGACTGCGGGTGCTGAGCCTGGGGGTGCAAAGACTGCGGGTGGTGAGCCCGGGGGTGCTGTCCCTAGGGGTGCTGAGTCTGGAGGTCCTGAGCCTGGGGGTACTGCGCCTGGGGGCGCTCTCTCTTCCTAGCAGCTGCGTGAGTGGTACTCTCGGTATTGTCGCCGCCTCCGTGGTGCTACTGGAGCTGGAGCTGAGGGCGCTGAGCCTACTGGAGGTGGTGTTGCTGCTGACCCTGGGGTCGGTAGTGGAGGTGCTGGAGCCATTGGTCCTGGAGGTGCTCGTACTGGTGGTACTAGAGCTGCTAGGACTGGGGGTGCTTCTTGAGGTGCTGCTGGTGCTGCTGGAGGTAGTGGAGCTGCTGGTGGTGCTGTAGGAGTTGGAGCTACTGCTGGAGGTTCTGGTGCTGTCTCTACTTGTTCTGGGGGCACTACTCGGCCGCGACCGTACTTCGTTCCACTCCTCCAGCAGGTTCTTGGTCAGCCGCCTCCTCCTTATCCTGCTCCCTCCTTAGAGTGTTCTCTGCCTGTCCAGTCGCAGTCTCAGCTAGCGCTTGCCTCGCCACTTCCTGGTCCTTCTCCCTACGCTGGTCCGACAGGCGGTCTTACGGAGCGTCGTGAGCCTGAGTCTCGTCCTGTGTCGCCTGAGTCTCGTCTTGTGTCGCCTGTTTGTGCTGCTCGCGCTGGTCACCGTGCTCCGCGTGAGCGTCCTCCACCTGTCATTGGCACACACTATATGACTCAGCGTCCTTCCACTGCTCCACTGCGTATCCCTCTGCCATCTCCTCGCGCGTCCTCTCTTCCGGTCCTTGCTGACCCGGAGTTTGACCGGGTTGGTGCTGCCAGTCCTACTGTCACGCGTCTCCTGGCCACTGCTGTCACTGACCCTTCCATTGAGTCTGCTGCTGCGTGTGCCCTAATTGCTGAGCTTGTCGACTTTGCTGCTCGCTGTCGTCTAGACTACGCCGCAAGTGTTGTTGGTGAGTCTGAGTCTGTCTGTCCTCCGTCCGTCGGGGGTGAGTGTGCTCTAGGCACGGATGTCCTTGAGGACAAACAGGAGGACCTTTAGTGTCTTGCAGCCGCTGCGCCTCATCTCGTGTCCATGCTACTTGCCCCAGAGGGAGACCTAGATGCTCCAGACATCCCGACCCCGCGCTCTTACGCCGAGGCGATCGCGGGTGAGTACTCCTCTCAGTGGCAGTTAGCCATGGACGCAGAGATGGCATCCTGGAAGTCCGCTGGCACTTACATCGCCGAGGTTCCCCCTCCTGGGGCGAACATCGTCAGTGGCATGTGGATTTTCAGGGTGAAGCGGCCGCCAGGTTCTCCGCCTGTCTTCAAGGCTCGTTACGTTGCTCGAAGCTTCAGTCAGCGAGAGGGAGTAGACTTCTTTCAGACCTTCTCCCCCACCCCGAAGATGACCACTCTTCGGGTGCTAGTGCACGTTGCCGCTCAGCGTGAACACGAGCTTCACTCTCTTGACTTCAGCACAGCGTTCTTGCAGGGCAGCCTGCACGAGGAGATCTGGCTGCGCCGCCCTCCTGGCTTCACTCGGTCGTTCCCTCTTGGTACCCAGTGGAGCCTCCGGCGGCCGGTCTACGGTCTCCGCCAGGCGCCACGTGAGTGGCACGACACACTGAGGACTACTCTTGCGGCTCTTGGGTTCGCGCCTTCTACTGCTGACCCGTCGCTGTTTCTGCGCACCGACACGTCGCTGTCGCCGTTCTACATCCTCGTGTACGTCGACGACTTGGTCTTTGCTACTGCTGACACTGAGGCTCTCGCCCACGTGAAGTCGGAGCTGCAGAAGAGACACACGTGCACAGACCTGGGTGAACTGCGCAGCTACCTTGGCTTGCAGATCACCCGGGACAGAGCACGCCGCACCATAACATTGACTCAGTCACACATGGTGCAGCAGGTCCTTCAGCGCTTCGGCTTCACCTGGTCCTCAGCACAGGCCACTCCTCTGGCTACAGGTCACTCGTGTCAGAACATTATAGCTTATACATTTGTGTAGACTGTAGTGGGGTAGCCCATAAGGGGTACAACCCAATTAGGGTTAGTACTTGTACCCAAGTCTTTCATTGTTCAATCATTCTTTCGTTCTCATCTTCACATGGTATAGAGCTGGTTCCCTCGTGGGAACTGTTTCTAGGGCCCACCGATTTTTTTTTTCCTGCCCGGAGCACGCTTTGCCCCTGCCCGAGTCGTGCCCCGTGTCCTTCCCCCTCTAGCGGCCTCTAGCGGCCCCTTTTACGGCCCCTAACGGCCCCGTCGCGCCGCCCTTTCGGCCCCGTCGCGCCGCCCTTGCGGCCCCGTCGCGCCGCCATTGCAGCCCCGTCGCGCCGCCTTTGCAGCCCCGTCGCGCCGCCCTTTACGCGGCCCCGTCGTCGCCCCTTCCTGCGGCCCTGTCACCCCCTTTCAGCGGCCCCGTCGTCGCCCTTCCGTGGCCCCGACACCGCCCTTATGCGGCCCCGTCGCCGCCCTCCAGCGGCCCCGTCGCCGCCCTTTCAGCCGCCCCGTTGCCGCCCGCCCTTTCAGCGGCCCCGTCGCCGCCCTTCCACGGCCTCGCCGCCCGCCCTTACAGCGGCCCCATCGCCCGCCCTTCCGTGGCCCCGACACCGCCCTTCCGCGGACCCGTTGCCGCCCTCCAGCGGCCCCGTTGCCGCCCTTCAGTGGCCCCGTCGCCGCCCTTTTCAGCGGCCCCGTCGCCGCCCTTTCAGCGGCCCCGTCGCCGCCCACCCTTCCAGCGGCCCGTCGACGCCCTTTCAGCGGCCCGTCGCCGCCCTTTGAGTGGCCCCGTCGCCGCCCGCCCTTCCAGCCGCCCGTCGCCGCCCTTTCAGCGGCCCGTCACCGCCCTTTTAGCGGCCCCGTCGCCGCCCTTCCACGGCCCCGTCGCCGCTCAGCCGCCGGGTAGCCGAGCCGCTAAGCAGCCGAGCCGCCGAGCAGCCGAGCCACCCAGCAACCGAGCCGCCTTGCAGCCGAGCCGCCCGACCGCCGAGCCGCCCAGCCCCCGAGCCGCCGAGCCGCACCGCAGCCAAGGCGCTGCTGCCTGTCAGCCTGCCCGTGACTGCCCCACTTGCCAGGTAAGAGCAGCGTCTCTGCCACTGCACTGCCCTGCCCCACTGTACTCACTGCCTGTCTACTACTGTCATGGCCTCCCCTGGTGTTCTCACCTTTGACGCTGAGGGTCGGGCGGTCGACTTTGAGGTTTGGGTAGATGGTCTGCAGCTTTTCCTACACTGCGATAGGGCACACGGTCTCTCCCTGTTTGACCTCACTTCTGGTGCCTCTCCTGCCCCTGCTGCTGATGCTGACCCCACTGTTCGCTCACAGTGGGCCACGCGCGATGCTGCTGCTCGCCTTGCTATGCGCCGTCACTTACCGACCACTGAGCGTGCACACTTTAGCCAGTACAAGAGTGCTCAGACCTTGTACGACGCTGTAGTTGCACGCTACTCTTCCCCTGCCACTGCTGCACTGAGCCGCCTCATGCTACCATACCTCTTCCCTGACCTTGCTGCCTTTCCCGCTGTCGTTGACCTCATTACGCACCTCCGCACTAGTGACACTCGCTACCGCGCTGCGCTTCCTGCTGAGTTCTACGCCAAGAACCCCCCCCCCCCCCTCCATGTACATCACTCTCTCCGCGTAGTCAGGGACCACTTCCTCTCAGTTTGCCCCACCACTCTCACCGTTGACCTCCTCGAGAAGGCCCTCCTACCAGCAGAGAAGAGTATAGTCGCTGTAGGAGCCTCTCGTGGTGACCCTCGCACCCCCGTTTTGAGGGGTGTTCTCCCTCCCCCCTCTTGTCGTGTGTTGCCTCTGCTGCTGTGGCTGACCTCGTTGGTTTCGAGTCGGTCAGCGCTGCGTCTGCCCCAAGCGGGAGACGCCGCACCGGCGAGGGCAAGGGGGGCAAGGGCGCTGGAGGGGCTGGAGGGGGCGGTGGAGGTGGTGGTGGAGGTAGTGGAGGGAGTGGGGGTGGTAGTGGGAGTAGTGCCGGGGGTGGCGGCGGCGGCGGCAGCAGTGGAGGCGGCGGAGGCGGTGGTGGTGGCAGAGGGAGCGGAGGCGGCGGAGGTGGCGGAGGAGGCGGAGGTGGAGGAGGCGGCGGAGGCGGCGGTGGCGGCAACGGTGGTGGAGCGGGTCGCGACTGTGCACAGAGGAGTGTCTCAGGTGGTGGTCCGCGCCAGCAGCAGCGGAGTGGTGTGACCCTGTCCCCTCAGCAGCTTCGTGAGTGGTACACTGCGCGTCAGCGCAATGGGGGTTTTGGTCCCTGCACTTACGTCCTCCGTACCGGCGACCGAGCTGGTGAGCTGTGCAGAGGCCCGCACTCCAACCAGCGCTGCTTCGGTCGCCTGACGGACGCATGGCGCCGCCAGTTGCCTTAGGCGACAGAGATCCCTTGTTGGGGAGATCTGTCCAGGGCGGGGGTTGCCGTCTTTGATCTTGACTAAGATGCTATTCTTGTTGCCATGTATGTTGTTGATGATAGTGTTGTGGGTGACTGTTACCTGTGTGTACCGCCTGACCCGGGCATTGAGGCTACTGCTCTAGGTGCTGGTGAGGCTACTGCTCTAGGTGCTAGTGCGTCAGCTGCCCCTGGTGCTAGTGCGTCTGCTACCCCAGGTGCTGGTGAGTCTGCGCTCTCAGGTACTACGTCGGCTCAGGCCTTACACACCTTCACCCTTGACTCGGGTGTGTCTCGCTCCTTCTTTCGAGACCGCACCACTCTTACGCCGCTCACTCGGCCGGTTGCAGTCTCCCTGGCAGACCCCTCTGGGGGTCCTGTCCTTGCTAGCTTCTCCACTGTCTTATCGTGCCCGGCAGCCCCCTCTGGCACCCTGTCAGGTCTCTACCTCCCCTCGTTGTCTACGAACTTGATGAGTGGAGCGGACCTACAGGATAGGGGGGTTGACCAGTTCACTCCTACGAGTCAGCGAGTGACCCACTGCACGTGTGCTCGGACAGGCCGACACTTGGCCACGTTCACCCGTCGGCCAGGGTCGAGCCTGTACACATTTACTACTGAGTCTCCTCCGGCTGCTGAGTGTGTCAATGTAGCTGCGTTGAGTCAAGTGTTTGCTGCAGCGTCCAGGTCTGGTCCTGAGTCTGCTCCCTGCTCGTGCCGTCTATGTGTCATATATGTCTTAACTCGTACACACAAATAGGTTTCGTATAAAAAGGCTAGCCTGTTTATAAGAGAGACCCGTATAGTAGACAAGCCCTGTCTACTATTCAACACTGCCTTATATTCGGGCAATGTCGGTACGTGCAGGGGGCGTGCCGTTTTGTGAACGAAAGCTGGTTGTGTCTGCAGGACACGTTCAATACAGTGTTACAACAAAAAATGTGGTAACTGAGCGGGCTTACGAATAGTAAATGTACGAGCTTGACAACCCCTTACAGAATCAAACATGACGGATGCTTGGGTTGGGATTGGGAGCACCGTGGGGAAGGATGGCGGTCAGATTCTGGAGTACTTGATAATATCTGTAATGTAGAGTGTCTAATCTCTCTGCCCGCTGCCTGGATTTTTCCAAAGCAGCCCTATTCCTCCTCCTAAAATATTCATAAATAAAACTTGACTATACCGTGGGGATTTGTTTCTGGAACGGGTGACATGAACTGTAGAATCCAGATCTTCAAGAGAGGTGGAAGTTCGGGTAGCGAGGGCATCTGAAAAAAAATGTTCAATCTTCGCAAAACAGCCGCCGAATTGTCGCAATAAATTCGTCATCCTACCTACGCAACTGTACCCACAGAAAGAATCCACGTCTCCTCTTTCTGCATATCTCACCTAATCCACAGAAGAGACTGGAAGGGTACAGTACACGACAACGTAGCACTGCAGCCAACAGCCAGACTGCTTACGGAAACCGAACTGAACCATTCTATTACATGAAGGGATACGGCACTTACTATACCACGTCAGTGGTTACGGGCGCATGCATTAAAAGCCTCTGCTGTTCACAACCACGTAACCCTAAACAAATATGTTCGGTGTCTATGAAGGTACGGCTTTGGGGAACTAACACAGGCAACGGCCGTGTGGCTGCAGACAACACAACTCGAACACGTCCTACAAAGCCACTATATCGGCCTCAGCTGTGACGAGTCTACGGACAGATGCCGTGGGAAGCATCTCATCATCTATGCCACATTCATCCGCGACGGGGCAGTAGTCACCGAGTTATTTGCCCTCCTAACCGTGGACAGGGCAGACGCCGCATCGCTGGTGGCGTTGCTCTTATCCCATGTCAATGCCGTCGGCATTGACCTGCACCGAATCACGGGCATCAGCACCGACGGGGCGAGCGTCATGGTCGGATCCAAAAACGGGCTGGTGGCGAGGCTGAGGACGCGCGTTCCGCATCTGGTGTCCTGCCACTGCATCGCTCACAGGTACGGTGGTTGATGCAGTGTCCGATGCGACTGGTATTTGTTATTTGAACATGGTGTCCTTCCTTCTACTTAACCAGATGCGACTGTTTTTTGTTTTAATCGCAGGGAAGCACTCGCGGCCAAGGACGCGGCAGAGTCCCTACCGGAGTTTGGCATGGTCGACAGCTTCATCCGCTGGCTCTCCACCTACCTCGGCTCATCAGGACCCTGGCACCAGCGCTTCCTGGACCTTCAGGAAGTCTTCACTCATACTAACCTGGAGCTCCAAGGAATCAATGATGTGCGTTGGCTCTCACGCGGCGATGCAGTCTACCGACTCCTTGCAGTCCTTCCAGGGGTTGTCGTGATGGTGCACGAGCTGGGAAACAAGCCCATGTACCAGATGGTGACTAGCTACAGATTCCAGTTCATGCTGCGCTTCCTCGCTGACGTGCTGGAACAGCTGAACGTGCTCAGCAAGACGTTCCAGCATCGACAGGTGAGATCCTGCTTTTGCCTGTGCATCCCTGTGTGCCGTGAGGACTGTGGGTTTAGGGCCGCTAGCTACGGCTAGTTCTGCTTCATGATTGAAACATGGTTGTGCTTTCCCTACTGTTTTTGTGTGGCAGATTGACCTGCTGGCGATTCAAGGCCAGATCCGTCGCACGACAACCCACATCAACAGCCGTTATGTGGATTGTGGCGACGACTTCGGCGGCGGCCTGAACGAGAAGCTGTCCCCCTTCATTGCACGACATGGACCGAATGGGGTGCGGAGAGTGGAGGTCGAGTGGGTTGACTCCGACGGCCGGCCCACTTCTCACTGCTATGTGCTGCATGATTCCCCCCTTGAAGGCTACCCCATTGCAGGGACCCATGAGCGATGCGTGGAGCAGTGCACGGCGATGGTGGAGGCGCTCGTGCATAACCTGGATGAGCGATTGGGTTCACTCGACAAGTTGAGCGGTGTGAAGCTTTTCATGCCCGACGAGTGGCCCCATGGACGGCATGAGCGTTCCATGGTCTACACGGAGCACCTAGAGTCCCTCACGATGCTCTTCAGGGCCCAAGAGAGCGATGAGATCGTTCCAGGTACGTACTTCTCTTTGGTCTGTGCATCGTTGTTTGTGCTGCTTTGTTGTGTAGCACCTAAACACTGGCACCACTTGTCTGGTGAGCCTTGCTTACCTTGTTCTTTTCCTTGTGCTTGCGCACTCCCTGACTCCCTCCAGGTGTCAACAAGAAGAAGGCTTTCAAGGAGCTCCGCACGTTCTGCACGGTTCTCGCTGGAGCCCCGAAGTCCGAGAGAAAGTTCTACCCGGGTCTCTCAGCGATGCTGAAGTCTCCTGACTGGGAGGACGCGTACCCCAACCTGGTGAAGCTGTGGATGGTTGTCGCTGTGCTACCGTTGAGCACAGTCGAGTGCGAGCGGGGGTTCTAGCGTCAAAACATCATCAAGAGCTGGCTGAGGGGTGCCATCAAGGATGCGCGGCTGTCGGACCTCATGTGCATGGCATTGCTGCCATACGAGCCCGACTGGGTGGAGGTGGTGAATATCTGGAGGGCGTACAAGAAGCGCAAGCCCATCACAACAGTGGCAGCACCAAAGAAGCAACCTCGTGCTAAGGGGAAAGAGAAGGTGGACGAGGATGATGCTGGTGGTGCTGGCTCTGTGTGGGGGACAGAGACCCCCGTGCACAGGCACGGTTCTATGAGCGATGGTGGTGGTAGTGACGAAGATGAGGACATGTCTGTGATGTGAATTGTGTGTGCAGTGTGAGTGCCAATTGGTCTGTGCCTGTAGTTAGATTAGAAGCTCATTAGAACCATATTTGAACTTTTCTTAACTTATTATACTTGTGATAGTTGTGGATTCTCACCGCCAGTGTTTTTTTTTTAACTCACGCTGATGTGTCAGGGTTTTTTTTTTCTAACCCTGAGAAATCAGTGTTTCTCCATTTACAACCCTGATGATCAGTGTTACAGCCCCAAAGGACCCTGAGTGCTCAGGGTCACCCAAAACGAATCTGAGGCCCTGATGACAGCGCACCACAGGAACGCACACAGCCTGTTGTACATACACACCTTGGGCAAGCCAATCACAGAACTCGGGCTCGGGCCTCGCAAGCGCACCCTGCACATGTACGGTCCGATCGGATCAGAAGTGCTTTGCCTCATCTTCCATTACCGAAACAAACAGGAACTGAATATCGATGGCCAACTTTCACTCTAATAAATATGATTCTCACTCCTACTCAAAGCCATACTTCAACCATGTTGAACTCTCTATTTGGTCCAAATACCAGGTTCTCCAAAAAACTTCGTCCTTGGATTCATGAATCACCAGCTTGTATTTTCTAGAGTCCTAAACATCCATAATGCATTTATAGTGGGTATGATAATGTATTGGCGAGACAGCGCCAGACGGCCTTGGAGAGGTGGGTGTCGTGGAGGGGTTTGGAGAGGTAGTCATCCATGCCGACGGCAAAGCACTGCTGGCGCGTGCCGGCAATCACATCCGCTGTGAGAGCAATGATGGCCACATGCCCCCCGCCCTGAGCCCTCTCCCGCGCCCGGATCCTGCGAGTCGCCTCCAGCCCATCCATGCCCGGCATCTGGAGGTCCATGAGAACGAGATCGTAGGGGTGGGGCGGGGCGAGGGCGTCTACGGCTTTCATGCCGCCATCGACGGCGGTGACTCGCGCGCCATGCCTTTCCAGCAGCTTGCTGGCCACCTTGCGGTTCACCACGTTGTCATCCACCACCATCACCCGCCGACCAGACAGCACCCCCAGCCTCTCCCCCACTGTCGCCGGCTCCCGTGCCATTTCTATCGGGGCTGGTGCTGCTTGTGGTGCTGCTTGTGGTGCTGCTTGTGGTGCTGCTTGTGGTGCTGCTTGTGGTGCTGCTTGTGGTGCTGCTTGTGGTGCTGCTGCTGGTGCTGCTGTTGGGAATGCTGGTGGTGGTGTGGCGGGTGTTGGTGCTGGTGAGAGTGATGGCGATGGTGTGCGTGTAAGGGCAGGGGATAGAGTCCCAAACGATAAAGACTTTTGAGGCGCCTCAAAGGTTGTAAGGGCAGGGGACAGTGTTCCAATCGAGGAAGCTGAAGTAGCGGGAGAGAATCCTGTGAAATCCAGCACACTCTCAAACCCACTCACCCTGCCACCACCACCACCACCAGCGGCCGCAGCAGCAGCAGCAGCAGGATACTCGCCACCAGAGCCACTGGTGACCGTGCTATGCCTCTTATCACTCCGTCTCACATGGGACCGCCCAGCTGCTCTCCTCTCACCTGCTGAACCGTGCACCCATGCTCTCCTTTCACCTGAACCAGGTGCTTCCCCGTCACTGGTGCCTCTCCCAAGGACCCTACCACCCGCCAAATTACCAGCTCCACCCGCTGAAGCAGCAACGGATGCCAGACCTGTCAAAGAAGCAGCAACACCAGCAGCAGCAGGAGCAGGAGCAGCAGGAGCAGCAGCAGCAGCAGCAGCAGCAGCAGCAGCAGCAGCAGCAGCAGCAGCAGCAGCAGCAGCAGCAGCAGCAGCAGCAGCAGCAGCACCAGGTGCGGTTGCAGCCGGTGCAATCAGATGCTTGAGGGAAGCAGACCAGTTCACCAAGGAGGCACTGTTGCCATCCATGCCCTGCTGCTGCTGCCTACCGCGGGACGCCTCCTCCTCCCAACACACGATCAGCCCCGGAAGAGAGGCAGCATGGCCAGTGTTGGAATTGGGTGACGTGTTTTGTGCCGCCCCAGGGCTTGCAGCTTCGGATTTGGCAGTGTCAGAAGCCGGGGTGGCGGGAGTGTTGGGAGTGGTAGGAGTGGTGGGGGTGGCGGGAGAGGTGGGAGAATGAGATCGGCGCAACTTGAACAAGCGAGGGGAATCGAGCCACTGAGGGGAAGCGAGGGACTGGGGGGACATGAGGGAGTGTGGGGATGTCACAGCTCGCCAGAGAGCCGCTGCAGCACTGCTGCCTGCCTTGTGGAGGGCCGATGGGCTCACAAGCTCTAATGCTGCGCCACCCCACTGCCCCTGCCTCTCATCCTGCCTCTTATCTTGCTTCTCACCCTGTCTTTCACCCTGTCGATCGGTACTGTCACTACATCCCATAGTGAGAGGCCGGCGGCAGGCAGTCGCAAAATCTCTCGAGATCTGTTCCTGTTCCTGCTGCTGCTGCTGCTGGTGACTGCTGGTTTTCATAGTATGACCCTCGTCTCTCGCCCCTCCCTGTGCTGCATCCTCGCCCTTGCCTCTTTCTCCTCCTCCCCCACCCTCCTGCACACACTCACTTAGCTCTGTGCCCACACTAAAAAGCGGCAGAAGCGCCGCCAGCAATGCCGGTTTCCGAAGAGGCTTCCTCACAACAGCGTCAAAGCCAAGTGAAAGCAGCGAGGGAATAGACGGGGAGGGCGCAAGTGAGGGCGCAGGCGAGGGCGAGACGGAAAGCGCAGGCGACCTGCTGCTCCTGCTCTTGCTGCTGCTGCCGCCTTGGCAGCCTCTCGTTAAATCGTTACATTCACCCAGGTTACACTCGCAATCGAATCCATCCGCCCTTCCATCCCTTCTTTCAGCAGTTGCGGCCCTCCCATTGCTCTTACGGCTGCTTCTCCTGCTCCTGACCATACCCCTGTCTATACTCCTGTCCCTGTTCCGCTCTCCGGTCCGACCCCTCCGTATCCGTGCCGACTCACAGCAGACCTCCTTGTGGCAGTCCGAATCCAGTTCATGGGAAAAGCTGTCCCCTTTATAAGCATCCCTCGGGCTGAAGCTGTTGGCCGCGGTAAGGCTTCTGGCAAGAGGGCTGGGCGGGGGGAGGTAGGAGCCATGCAGGAGCACAAGGAAGGGGACGGGCCAGCTTCTACAGCTACTGCTGTTCTTGCTGCATGCGCCGCACTCGCTTCCGCATGGGCTCTCCTCAAGTGCACACCTGCTCACTCGTGGCAGCCCATCCCCTGCCATCTCTTCACCTTCGTCCCTACCCCCACTCATGTGCCCTCCCTTGCTCATCTGCTCACTTGTACTCATCTCCTCGGGCTTACTCATCGGCTCACCATAGCCTGCCATCCCAAAACCCCCCTGGTCCATCAAGAGGGAATGGATTTGATCTGCTGTGACGCCCAGACGCTGCATCATCTCCCCCTCCACCACCACCGCTCCCACCCATCCCCGCCTCTCCTCCTTGCTCAAGGTCTTGTAGTGCACCTGTTGCTGCACTCTCCCCTCCCTCTCTCCGTCCACCTCCTTTGCTTCTTCCTCTCCTTCATCCTCCTCCTCTTCTCCTTCCTCCTCCCCCTCCCCCTCCGCCTCCTCCTCTCCCTCTTTCTCCTGCTTTTTTTTCCGCCAGCGCCGCTGCCACTTCCGCTGCTGTTGTTGCTGCTGCTGCTGCTGCTGCTGCCGCTGCTGCTGCCGCTGCTGCTGCTGCTGCTGCTGCTGCTGCTGCTTCTCCCCCCTTCTACCCTCGCCATTCCCGCTTGAAGAGCAGGCAGTGACTGAAAGAGGAGGGCAGGAAGACTGGCGGGAAAGGGGAGCGAGAGAGAGAGGGGAGCAACGGTCAGAGGAGGCAGAGGGGGTGGAGGCGGAGGGGCGGAAGGCAAGAGATGCAAAAAGAACAGCCGGCGAGCCAAATGGCTCGAGAGGAGGCTCGAGAGAATGACTCAACGGTTCGAGAGGATGAGACAGCGGCTCGAGAGGACAATTCAATAGCTCGAGACGATTCTTTAGAGGAGGATAAGTATGGTTGCTGATAGGTCCTGTGCTGGCTTGTGAGCAGGGAAGCCGCTCCTGCTCCTGCTCCTCCCCCTGCTCCTGCCTCTGCTCCTGCTCCTGCTCCTGCTCCTGCTCCTGCTCCTGCTCCTGCTCCTGCTCCTGCTCCTGCTCCTCCTCCTGCTCCTGCTCTTGCCCCTGCTCCTGCTCCTGCTCCTGCTCCTGCTCCTGCTCCTGCTCCTGTCCCTGCCCCTGCTCCTGCCCCTGCTTCTGCTCTGCATGATGCAAGGCACGGTGTTGGGCGAGGAGGCGGGGGAGGAGGTGGAAGGAGGGGCAGGGGAGGGTGCAGATGCCAAGGCGGCGCAGCAGAGAGAGAGTGACGTTATGCCGCACTGCCCGGTCGTCCACACTCACCACACACACGCCTTCCCATTCACATGCTGCCCTCCCGTCATTCCCACCACTCACCACACACACACTTCCATTAGGAAGCCCACATGCTGCCTGATGCTGCTGCTGCTTCTGCTGGTGCTGGTTGGCTGTGCCTTGGGTGGGCACGTTACAGGAGCTTTGAGGAAGAGGAGCGGGGATGGAAGTTGTGCCAGAGGGAGAGGAAGAGGAGGGCTTAGAGGTTGGAGATGCATTTAGCAGGGGAGGAGGGAGTGAGAGAGTGGAGAGAGGTGGGACAGGGGCATGAGGCGGAGTGGTGGGTTGAGGAGGAGTTGTGTGGGGTTGGGGAGGATGAGCCGGGGAGCGACGAGGCCCAGGGGGGTGAGGGAGAGGGGGTGTGTGGAGGAGAGGGGGTGTGTGGAGGAGAGGGGGTGTGTGGAGGAGGATATCGAAGATGAAGGTGGTGCCGACGCCTGGCTTTGAGACAAACGAGATGGATCCACCCATCAGTGACACCAGGCGCTGCAGGCGATGGGGGGGGGGGAGGGTGGGGGGTGGTGGAGGGGATTAGAGTGGGGAAACGGAAAAATATTGGGCAGGTAAAGAAGGATAGCAATGTAGGATGCCTCAAGAACACACCGCACCTTGCAGATGGAGAGGCTGATGCCCGTGCCTCCATGCAGCCGTGCCGTGCTGCGCTCTGCCTGTGTGTACGGCCGGAAGATGTGCCTCCGCGCGTGCCGGGGGATGCCGGTACCTGCAGGAAGAATGAGCATGGGAGCACAATAGGTGGAAGAATAGGATAGTGACTTTTGCGTTGACTCAAAAAGAATAGCATGTGAAAGCTTGAAAGCATTCGTGATAACACATCGCAGAACATGATTAACAATTGCACAAGATGATCAAATGCGATTGCAATCGTCGTATGTACCTGTACCCTCCACACTACCATCAGGCGCACACGCATGCACACGCACACGCATGCACACGCACACAAGCGCAATGAGCTGGTTTTCGAGAATTCTAAAAAAACCATCATCAGTCGCACACGCGATCGCGCGCACACGCATGCACACAAGCGCAATGAGAGCGTACCTGTGTCTTCCACAGCCACCATCAGGCGCACAGGCTGGTCAGAGGGCACGATGCGAAGGCGATGGCGACAACGCCAGGTATCATTTGCCGTGCCCATGCCCATGCCCATGCCCATGCCAACGGCAGCAAGGTCCATGTGCTCCCGCATGCCCTCCCACGAGCACCATGTCTTCATGGCAGGCCGGCCACTCAGTGTCAGGCACCCAGGGTCAGTGGAAGAATGCGCAACTGGCTCACAGCCACCAGTGTCCACATCGGCACTGGTGCCTTGGTCGCCGCCAGAAGCACCGCTCGTCTCATTTACTTCGGCAGTGGCTCCATCTGCCTTGGCTGTATCCTTCCCCTGCTTCAGCACCGCTGCCTCGGGTGCATCCTTCCCCTCTCTATGGTTCCTTGCACTGGTGAAGTAACTGGCAAGGGAGTGGCGCCTGATGGTGGCCGATCCTTTGGTGAGGGATGGGGATGGTGATGGTGGTGATGGTGACAGTGAGGGTGACGAGGAGGATGTGGAGGATGCAGCTGAGAGCAGTGATGGAGGGGTATTGGCATCATCGTTGGTGGTGCTGTCGGTGGCGGTTGCGAGGCGCACGACAATGAAGACGTGGCCCTTGGTGGTGAACTTGAGGGCGTTGCCGATGAGGTTGATGAGGATCTGATGCATGCAGAAAAAACAAACAAACAAGCACACACGCACGCACACAGAGGGTGAGCAAGGGTCGCGCCACGAATGCAACGGATGAAGTGATTGAAAGCAAACATCAGTGCAGGGGTATCTGTGCAAAGAAAGAAAGACAGAGATCATGAAGCTTGACCCTGTTTGACCTGAAACGGTTCGCGTTCGGTTCTTGCTCATGCGTACTACCATACCAACACTACCACATCCACCTGTTTCACTCGAAGTGGGTCCCCAAGCAGCGTCTCGGGCACGTCGTCAGCCACGAAGGCTGCCAGCTCCACGCAGCGCTTCTCCTGGGCGCTCTCCACGAAGAGCGCGAGCACGTCGTCGAGCTCGGCGCACAGGTTGAGGGGGATGCGCTCGAGGTGGAGCTTCTCAGCCTCGATCTTGGAGAGGTCGAGAATGTCGTTGATCAGCGCACACAGCGCCCGCCCGCTGCTGCACGCCGTCTCCGCGTAGTCCTGCTGCGTGCCGTCCAACGGGGTTTCTTGCAACAGGTTCAACATGCCTGGGAGTGGGAAGAAACAAACGATGACAAACAAAAAGCGATGTGGGTTGTTCAATATGTGATATTGAGATGAGACCCTTCAAGGTTACGGACTGTGTAGCCTTGTTGCACTTACTTGGAACTCGGCTCTTGGGGTTTGTAAAGGCTGTGAATCATTCTCAACTCGAACTTCTTACTTTGTATCTTAAGACTATTGTGGCTGCTCGACCGTTGTCCAAACCGTCATAGTGTCCTCATTTTGGTATGAAATCGCTTGACTGAACTTGTTACTTCGAGATCTGTATAAAGTTCTGAAGCCGCTCCGCATAAATCCGTCTGTGCACTCTAACTTTCGTTTGAATCCCATTGAAGATTATTGCGATTATAACCACCCTCAGACTGCAATAGCCCACGTACTACCCCCATTCTCGTTTTTTACCGTTTTCTACTGGCCTTAGGGACGTGACATTGAAGGAGGATGTGATGGGGACAAGGATATTGGCACGACTTGCATCAACCTAAGCACAGCACCAAACAAAGACTCATTGCATCCCCAAACGCACGAACAATCAATTCACGTACCACTGAGCCGCCTTGAAAGTCACATACCTATTACGCCGTTCATGGGAGTGCGGATCTCGTGGCTCACGGTGGTGAGAAAGTCTCCCTTGGCACGGCTCGCCGCCTCGGCTTCCTCTCGAGCAGCACGCAGCTCCTGCTGCGCCGCGGCCAGGTGCTGACAGTCGCACTCAAAGGCGTGCATGAGCTGGATGCTCGTCCAGAGGAGGATGGTGGAGACGGTGAGGAAGAGAGCCACAACTATTATCCAGATGAAGGGGCCGAACGGGCGGGAGTAGGAGGTGTGCCTGAGGTGGGATGTAAGGCCGAGAAGAGAAGAAGGGAAAGGGGGGCATGGGGAAGGAGAACGGTGGTGAGGGAAGATGCGGAGGGCTGGATTGCAGAGGCAAGCGGATGCTGCTATACATGTGTGTGTGTGCGTGCGTGCGGGCGTGCGTGCGTGCGTGCGTGCGTGCGTGCGTGCGTGCGTGCGTGTGTGTGTGTGTGTGTGTGTGTGTGTGTGTGTGTGTGTGTGTGTGTGCATGTATGCGTGCGAGCATGCATGTTTCACAGATCCATGGACGAACACACTCATTCAATCCGTATGCATGTATAGATCCATGCACGTACACATGCATGCACACATCAACTTACTCGCAGAAAATATAGAAACTTTTTGTTGGATCTCCCAAATTCACCGCCCGTCGCACTCTCCCCCGCTGCTGCTCCTCCCCATCCACCATCCATGCCCCAATCTCCTCCTCACCCACCACCCCCTCATGGTCAAATAAAAGCGCAGGCATCCATCTACCAGTCTTTCCGTCCTCATTCCGTGCACTTTCATTCCGCGCACCATCCCACGCCCCGCCCCTTGTCCCATCCACCAGATAAACCCTCGTCTTCAGCTCCACCAGCTGCTGAAACCCCACAAGCGACCGCAGGTTGGCAAAGTTATACCCCGCGATGACGATCCCCCGTGGGAGCACCCCAGGTCCGGGGGTGGCAAGCGGAGGGATGGTGATGGACGGACGCGCGGACGAGGGGGGCAGGGCGAAGGTGGTGAGGTTGAAGTAGACTGGGAAGGCCTGGCCGATGAAATGGTATGGGTAGCCATCGCGCATGAAAGGCGGCGACATGACAGCGGCGGCTGAGTTGATGGCCCGGTGGATCATGTCGCCCACTCCTTGGTCTGAGAGGGACAGTGGGAGGGGGTGGGATGGGGTGGGCGGAGGTGGGAGGCGGTGATGAAGGAGGGCAGGGTGGAGGGGAGTGATTCATGATTCCCTGAGATCTCTTGAAGACATGACAGAGGAGGGTGAGTCGATGGCCCGGTGGATCATCATGTCCCTCGCTGCCCTTTAGCCACAGAGACAGTTTGAGGTAGACCTTTCGACTGATAAGAGGACCTCGTGGGGTTGAGTCACCTGCCGTGCCGTGGGATAAGAAGATTGACCCCATGGACCAATGGCCCCATGAGAAGAAGATTGACCCCATGGACCAATGGCCCCATGAGAAGAAGATTGACCCCATGGACCAATCTTAGTGGGAATATAAGCTTATTGCGTATATAAGCTTATCTTATATACGCACTCGTATATACGCTAAACGCTTTCGGGCCGGGTTTGGGAATACGCTTTTCCGGGCAGAAAAAAAACTTCCCGGGCAGGGTCAAAAAAACCCTGGGAAGGGGGGGGGGGGGGGGGGGGGGGGGGGGGGTATGGGGCAGGGGTTTGGGGTCTGAAATTTCAGAGTACATTTTTTTCCCACTAAGTCACATACACCAAGGCCTGCACATAACTTTCCCCTACTCTCTAACTCTCTTACCACTACCATCACTACAATGGTACACTACACCATCACGACCATCACTTATATCCTGGACTCTCTAGGTACTACTCCTTAGGCCTGGCCGCCCACTGCAATGCAAGCCACATATGCCCCCTCTACTTAGCGTACTCGTCTTCGAGGATGTCGTCGTCGCTTTCCTCCTCATCCTCTCCCTTCGCCTCGTCTTCCAGCCCATTGTATCCCGCCGGGATTGGAGGCTCCGCTCCTATCCCGGCCACCACATGTGGCAGGACATCGGCGCGCGTGTGCCAGTTGCGCACAACATTCCAGTTGTGCGTAACATAGACCAAGTCCCTGCACTTGGCGGATCCGAGCCTGTTCCGACGTGCGGTGTGGACGACATCCCAAGATGACCATCCACGCTCACAAGGTGAGGCGGACACGGGCTGAGACAGCACCCGTACCGCGAGCCCCGCCACACGTGGAGCATCGGTCCCATTCCACTGCCACCACTTCACCATGCTATACTTCCCCTCTTTCACCAGCTTCCTCTGTGCCACGGCTTCCGGCATCCCAAAAGAACCCTTCATGTCAAGAAACGCCCTCAGCCCGTCTCCCAGCTCAAGCAAGATGCTGCAAGCGTCATCCCCCCCATCCCCGCGGCTCGCAAGGAACTCGGCGTACTTGCTGATGAACGCCTTGAAGACCTTCGTGCACTCGAGATCAGTGCCGAAGATATCTTCCTCCTGATTGGCGGGGTTGAGGATGCGGCCAGCGACATGCATGGCGCATGCGAGGCTGCCGTCCCAGCGGTCTCTGAGGATCTTGCGGATCTGGTCCTTATCCGCGTTGCTCAGCTGCTCCTCGTCCGCATCGAGTAAGTCCCCCACGTCCTCAGTCAACTGAAGCATAACATCCTATATCCTCCCCATCATCCCCACGGCATGCCCGTCCGTCTGCCTCATCGCCTTATAGGGCAGCTTCAGGAGGGCAGTGAAGAAGTCGGCCGTCTTCCACCAGGCGGCATCATGGATCAGCGCAGCAAACGCGTCGCATGATTTCTTCCGGTCCCCTACCGCCCACTCCTTCCACCCCTCGCTCGTCACCATGTTGGTGAGGTTGCCGCGCATCGCACACAGCCGGGAGATGGAGATGTAGTTCGTCCCGAACCTCGTTCCAGCCGGCTTCAGCGCTTCCAGAACCTTCCCCTCCACCAATTCCGGCGTGCGCAGGTACCCGCGGGTCCAATGGTGGTTGCGGACGAAGCTGCTAATCTCCCCTCCCTTGTCGACCACCGGCTTAGCCCACCCCATCTTCCCCACGTCTTCCAGGAGAAGATCCATCACATGGGTGGCGCACGGCACGTCTTGAATGTGCGGCCACTCCTGAATCAGTCGCTTCACCGCCACCGCGTAGTTCGATCCCCCATCCATGCAGAACGCCACAACGTTCTCTGGCCCCACTTCCTCCACCACGGGCCTGAGAATCCCCGCCACGTAACCACCCGTTTTCTTCTCCATGTTGCAGTCAACACAGTCGTAGAAGACGGCGCCCGAATCATTGACGAGAAGAATGTTGGCCTGCGGCCTGCCCCTGCGGTCCGTCATCATGTCGGACGACACCGTCACGCCCGTCCGCTTCCAGCTCGTTTTGACGCCCACCAAACCCGCCTCGATGCCGTTGCGACACGCTACAAGGCCAGCACCGCCGACGTATTTCCGCTTCGGGGGGACGTAGTCTTTCCCGGCGCGGGAGACGTTGTTCAATGCGTTGACCATCAGAGGATGGTCAATGTGGCGCTCGGGGATGTGGAGGGCGGCCCAAGCAAGCGCAAGTGACTCGTCCGCTTCTCGCTTTCGTGCAGCCGTATCCCCCTCGAGGTAATCGGTGATTCGCGCGCGCTTCCCACCGTCAGCCGTCACCGCGGCAACCGCGGCAGCAGCGGCCCGCCTCCTTTCGTCGGCCGCAGCAGTCTTTGCCTCGTAATGCGCTTTCATGGCCCGACGCACATCTTGCGGCACATCCTTGCACAGCACCACTTCACGGCGTTTCATGCCCTTCCACGACGCGAAGTGTTGCGCGCATCGGATGGCAGCACCGGTGTAGAGGTTGCTGCAGAACTTGCACTCGTACTGCTGGGCTTTACCCTCGACCCGCTTGACGATGCGGAAATGCTTGAAGACGACATGGTCGACGTCGGGGAGATACTCCCGTGCCTCGGTTAGAAGAGTCTGCGAGCTGCCAACGGTGTTAACTGACGGTGCCGTGGGAGGAGAAGTGGTAGTAGTCGACATAGGCACCAGGCGCTAGGGAATGCCCAGTGCTCTGCTGGTAGCGGGAGAAGACCTAATGAGTTGGATGTTGGGGGTGTGCGTGTTTAATAGCGAGTAGATTGGGGGAGTTGGAAGATGGGCAACTGAAGTTGGAATCGCAATTGGTTGTGAAGGTTTTGAATGCGGTACTGACTGTGACCACCAAAATGTGAGGGAACGTGCAAGCGCGACTCGACGTACGTGACTTTCCATTCGCGGCTCAAACTTTCAACCCACGTCCACGCTAGCACACAGCGCGGACGTGACATTTGACCCCGCCAATGTGTTCGTCGTGCAATTCCGAAGCGAACCGTATAGGTTGAATTTTTTTGGCCGGGCTGCCCCTAAAAAAATTTGGCTAGCGTATAGCGTATTCGCTAGCGTTTTGCGTATTGCGTATAAACGCTAGCGTGTATACGCTAAACGCAAACAGTTCTGAGCGTATTTTCCCACTAAGGGACCAATGGCCCCATGAGAAGAAGATTGACCCCATGGACCAATGGCCCCATGAGAAGAAGATTGACCCCATGGACCAATGGCCCCATGAGAAGAAGATTGACCCCATGGACCAATGGCCCCATGAGAAGAAGATTGACCCCATGGACCAATGGCCCCATGAGAAGAAGATTGACCCCATGGACCAATGGCCCCATGAGAAGAAGATTGACCCCATGGACCAATGGCCCCATGAGAAGAAGATTGACCCCATGGACCAATGGCCCCATGAGAAGAAGATTGACCCCATGGACCAATGGCCCCATGAGAAGAAGATTGACCCGGCCCGAACCAGTCCGAATGAACCGGCTGGATCCAGCCCCACTCACTCACCATCCAGCATGTCGTAGCAGCATCCAGCATGTCGTAGCAGCATCCAGGTGAAATGAGTGAGTTTTCGAGACGTCCCGACATACTGTAGGATAATAAGAACACAATCGACTCACCATCCAGCATGTCGTAGCAGCATCCAGCAGCAGCGGGCCTCAACCGCGGGTTGTAGTCCTTGCGCCCGTTGAAGATAAGCAGCGGCGCGTACAGGGGCAGGCCACGCGGGCGGCATGACACGGTGCCGTTGGGCTCGCGCCCGTAGAAGCAGTGGCCGGCGATCTTCTCAATTCTGTGTCGGATGAGCGAGCTGTTCACGAGGAGCGTGAAGGCCACGACTGGAGGGAACGGGGTGGTTAGGCGGGTGCGTGGATGGGTGGGTAGGAGGGTGGGAGGAGGAAGAGGGAGAAGTGGGTGAGAGGGGGGGGTAAGGAAATGGGGAATCCAAGGGTGAAGGGTGGGGGGAATAAGAGGAGGAGGGCGGGGGAGGAGTGGGGGTTTGGGGAAGGGGGGGAAATCAACCCACATGCAACTGAAATGAGGCCATGGGATCTGATCACATGCAACTCTAAAGAGGTCATGGGTCCAAATCACATGCAGCTCACATGATGCCATGGATTCAAATCACATGCAGCTTACATGATGCCATGGGTTCAAATCACATGCAGCTTACATGATGCCATGGGTTCAAATCACATGCAACTCACGTGACGCCATTGGTCGACTGTCGAGAGTAGCCTGGGTGAACCGCTGGAATTTCGCCAAGTCACGAAAGTCCTCCTTCATGCTGATCACCAGGGGTGGGGTGGAGGAGGGAAGAATGCAAATGCATATTTAGGTCGACTCAAAGTCAAGAGTAGCGTGAGTGAAGCGCTGGAAGCTCGCCAAGTCTCGCAAGTGTTCCTTCATGCTCGTTGCCCCCGCCCCGGTGTATGGCGGAGGTGATAGGGGTGGATGGGTTCGGTGGGGTGAAGGGGGAAGTTGGCGGGAGGGGAAGGGGAGAGGAGAGGGAAGAAGGTAGAAGGGAAGAAGGTAGAAGGGAAGAAGGTAGAAGGGAAGAAGGTAGAAGGGAAGAAGGTAGAAGGGAAGAAGGTAGAAGGGAAGAAGGTAGAAGGGAAGAAATAGCGGAGAGGGGAGTGACAGAGCGGGGGAGAGGAGGGAAGTTGGGCAAGTTAGCCTGAAATTCACTATGCCCGAAAAAAAGGAGCTTAGATGGATTGGGGTGAAGGGCAAACACACCAAGTGTGGTGTGTCCCACCAGGATTAAAATAAAATAAATAAAGAAATAAATAAGAATACTTGATTCGTAATATTCTCACGTCAGACAACCAGGCCAAATGCAATAGTCACCTGGAGAAGCAAAGAGCGCCCGTGTGCTGTGGATGCCGTATCAAGGCAGTAGCCACATATAAAATCGGAGACAGAGAGCATGTATTGGCACGTGGTGGTGCTGTAAAGCTTAGCCCAGAGAGTCACAGCCCACTCGTCCTCGCAGTGCCTATGGGGAGCACTCAAGCCACTCGCGGCACTGGGTGGGAGAAGCACAGAGAATCGCACGGCACTCGTCCTCGCAGTGCCCTACCCTGTCCTGCCCTACCCTGTCCTGCCCTACCCTGTCCTGCCCTACCCTGTCCTGCCCTACCCTGTCCTGCCCTACCCTGTCCTGCCCTACCCTGTCCTGCCCTACCCTGTCCTGCCCTACCCTGTCCTGCCCTACCCTGTCCTGCCCTACCCTGTCCTGCCCTACCCTGTCCTGCCCTACCCTGTCCTGCCCTACCCTGTCCTGCCCTACCCTGTCCTGCCCTACCCTGTCCTGCCCTACCCTGTCCTGCCCTGCCCTGTCCTGCCCTGCCCTGTCCTGCCCTGCCCTGTCCTGCCCTGCCCTGTCCTGCCCTGCCCTGTCCTGCCCTACCCTGCCATTCCCTGCTCTTACGTATCCAGGTAGTAGGCGCGGACGAAATCCGAAATGGAGCGTGTGTTGGCAACGGTGGTGTTGAACTTGGCGCCGATAAACGCCGCCCACTCATCACAGCGCCCCTCCAGGTCGCCCCTCTCACTCGCCTGCGCGTGCTGCCATGCGACTGTAAACACCAGCGACAGGATGGCGGCTGCCAGCAGCACCCACAGCCACAGCACTCGCTGGGAGGAGGGAAGGAGGTGGGCATGGGAGGGGTGTGATGTGACCACAGGAGCAGGAGGGGAGGTGAGAAGCAAGTTACTCTACGTGTTTTCCCTCTCATCCCACAAACCTTCAGCCCTACCATTGTAAACACCAGCAAGTTACTCTACGTGTTTTCCCTCTCATCCCACAAGCAGCTACTACATGAGCACAAGGGCGAACACCTGTTCGGTTCGCCTCAAACATGTTCGAGAAGAACCGAACACACCTAATCACCAAAAATTGTTCGGGCGAACCAAACATGTTTTGGGCGAACACACACACATGCAAACACACACACGCACGCACCCATGCACGTGCGCGCGCGTGCGCACACACGGTGACACACACACATACACACACACACGCACGCACACGCACACGCACACGCACACGCACGCACACGCACACGCACACGCACACGCACGCACACGCACACGCACACGCACGCACACGCACACGCACACGCACACCATTTTGCGTGGCACTATTCACAGCGTACCTTTTGCCACGGCGGTTTGCTGTGTTTAATTTTGAGGCGCCCCAAGACGAGACAGACACCACAGCATTGCAGCATTCGCGGCGTACCTTGCGCCACGGGTGGCTGAGTCGCCTGAGCGGCCACGACACGAACCACTCCACACTCGATACCCACGACTGCCGGCCTTTCGCCGCGTCGTCCGCCTCCTCGAGCATAGCTCTCTCCGCCTCCTCCTCCCCAGGTCCGAACTCACACCCCCGCCCATCATCAGACGCATGCCCCCCATCATCACTCTCTTGGCCCCCATCATCACTCTCTTGGCCCCCATCATCATGATCAGATGCAAGATACTCCTCAGCCCCCTCTTCCAACAAAGATTCACTCCTGCCGCCTTCCCTCTCACTCTCTGCGTCTTCCGCTCTTTCTTCTCTCGCCGCCTCCTCCTCGTTCTCCCAACTATCAATTTCCTCGGCACTTCTAGTACTAGAGGGATCGTATGCAGATTTTGTTCCTGTAGGTAATAGTAGACGGCGTGTCTGCTGTGGCTTTAAGCCGCTGTAGGTCAGCGAAGGACAGCACCCGACCCCCTCGTAAGCCTCATCTTGCCCCGTAAGCAATAACTCCTCGCAATCCTCCTCCTCTTCGATCTCCTCGTTACACGACGCTGTTCGATATATTTCGTGAGCTAAGCCGAAATTCGCCGTTTCCTCCGGAATAGAATCAGTGAAAATGGAATTGCTTCCGCTTAGGGTTCGAAACCCGACCCGTCGGCGAATGGAAGCCGGCATTCCCGTGCAATCCATGTCGTCGCGGTAATACTGTAACAGGTGACATGGAAAGTAGCTCAGCACTAGTGATGAGTCTTCAACAACAGAGAGGTCAAACGAAATGGTCGGGGAAAATCAGGCTGCGAGCTTGCTTTCTCGTCTGCTCTGCAGAAACAAGCTTGCAACACAATGGCTTTGATGAATTAGGTCCTTCAACGCCTATGGCCGCCATGGGAAAGAAATATAAGGAACTTGACGTCGCTCTCGCAACCCTAATTGAAAAAAAAAAAAAAAAAAAAAAAAAAAAGAGTGGGTATTGAGCCCGTTGCCTATATTTTTCCTAGCATGCCCAATTTCTGGTTCTCTCAGAAAGTCAGCAACAGAACAAACAAAATGCTGCAAGGGATATGCTTTGCGGAACGGGAGATGCATCTTTAGGGTTGCCAGAGCAACTGAAAAATGTCCAGTCCTTGTGAGCCAAAGGCACCAAACCACGCACCAATGTCCGAAACTCGCGCATTAAATTCGCCAGCCTACCCACGCACTGTACGTGCGCAAACAAACCCACAGTCCCCCTACAGTACACGACAACATAGCACTGCAACCACTAGCGAGTCTGCTTACAGTACCGTGCCAGCTAACTCAGAGTTTGCAAATAAGGGTTCCAAATACGCAAAGTAACAACTCAGAGTACACTCCGTAGGAAGCATGCACCGAATCTTCTTTCACGGGCAAACTAACTCAGAGTTAGTGCTTTCCCTTACTCTGGCTTCTGGGTGAAAGTTGGCTACACTATTCTGGGCACGGCTCAAGAAGGGCTACCCCGAAATTGCCCACATTTGGTTCTTTCCAACTAGTCCCCACGGTGTGTTGCGTGAAGTTGCAATTGTTTGCCTCATGGTTACCCTTTCGAACATTTTCTTTCGGAAGGGGCGGCACTTCAGGTTGAGACAGAAAATTTTAACCAGAACAACTTAGAGAACCCCCTCGAAACTTCTTCAACTCAGAGTTACGAGGGCCACAGATCACCAAGGTAAGTTACAACTCAAACATTCACACGAGCGTAATGATTCATTGTCGGTGTACTCACCCAAACCTACACGGCTCGGCAACTCAGGGTTAGCTACTCTGAGTTAGGGCGGGTCCGAAGTGAAGTCGACATCCGTTGACATCCTATGTCGGTAAATCCTGACGGTTGGAACTCTCGATCCGAGGGTTGACATTTACCGACATCCATCGACATCCATTCGACGCTTCACTTCGGACACGCTCTTAGCGCCACAGAACAAGGCCCAGGCCTCGCACGCGCAGGAATGTACTTTATGATTGGATGATCAGATCGGATCAAGAGATGCCTTACCGCATGTCGCTTTGAATGGAATGCACTGAGCATTCTGGGCAAACTTTGTACCCCTAGATTCAGATCTACCCAAAGCCGTGTTATAAATCATTGCACTTCATTTAGCCCTAGCTTCAGCACCTCCAGAACAATCTTGAACTCTTTGGAGCACTGAAAACTCCTCCATGGAGATTCCTGGGCTAGTACCTCATGAATTACCACCATGCAGACTTCGATTCCCTGAGGCCCAAACATACATAATGCATTTCAAATGTGTGTGATTATGTATTGGTGAAGCATCGCCAGACAACCTTCGAGAGGGGGCCGTCATCGAGGGGTTTGGAGAGGTAGTCATCCATGCCGACGGCAAAGCAGTGCTGGCGCGTGCCGGCAATCACATCCGCTGTGAGCGCAATGATGGCCACATGCCCCCCGCCCTGAGCCCTCTCCCGCGCCCGGATCCTCCGAGTCGCCTCCAACCCATCCATGCCCGGCATCTGGGAGGGGAGGGGTGGGAAAGCGGGTGGAGAAGAGTTAGATGTGAATTTTACAATGAAATGCCCGCCGAGTCGCCTCCAGCCCATCCATGCCCGGCATCTGCATGGGGACGAGCGTAAAGCGAGGTTGAGGGATGGTGGAGATTCTCCTCACCTCCCACACATCTCCCCGTCTCCTCCCACACATCTCCCCACCTCCTCCCACACATCTCCCCACCTCCTCTTACAAATCTCCCCACCTCTCACACATCTCCCCACCTCTCACACATCAATCTCCCCACCTCTCACACATCGCTCCATCGCCTCCTAGGTTCACCTGCAAATCCATGAAGACAAGCTCGAAGGGGTGGGGCGGGGCGAGGGCGTCTACGGCTTTCATGCCGCCATCGACGGCGGTGACTTGCGCGCCGTGCCTCTCCAGCAGCTTGCTGGCCACCTTGCGGTTCACCACGTTGTCATCCACCACCATCACCCGCCGACCCACCAGCACCCCCAGCCTCTCCCCCACCGTCGCTGGCTCTTGAGTCGGCTCAAGCACCCCCAGCCTCTCCCCCACGGTCTCCCCTGCCATTGCTGCTGCAGCTGGTGCTGCTGGCGGTGCTGCTGTTGGGAATGCTGGTGGTGGTGTGGAGGGTGCTGGGGCTGGTGGTAAGAGTGATGGCGATGGTGTGCGTGTAAGGGCAGGGGACAGTGTGCCAACCGAGGAAGACTTTTGAGGCGCCTCAAAGGTCGTAACGGCAGGGGATAATGTTCCAACGGAGGAAGCCCAAGTGGAGGGAGAGAACCCTGCGAAATCCAGCACACTCTCAAACCCACTCACCCTGCCACCACCAGCACCAGCACCAGTCGCAGCAGCAGCAGCAGCAGCAGCAGCATACTCGCCACCAGCACCTCTGGTGTTTGTGCTACTCCTCATTTCACCCTGTCTTGCACGGGACC